TGAAAGAAAATTAAATTATTTTCCGGAAAGAGGCAGGCCCATTTAAAATTTTAAAAATCCTTAAAATCCTTAAAATCCTTAAAATTTTGAAAGGTTGGGGCTTTCAAAACTTTAAGGATTTTAAGGAATTTAACGCCTTCTAAATTTCTTAAAATCCTTAAAATCCTTAAAATTTTGAAATAAAATTAAAATATATTCCGGAAAGAGTCAGGCCCATTTAAAATTTTAAAAATCCTTAAATTCCTTAAAATCCTTAAAATTTTGAAAGCCCCAACCTTTCAAAATTTTAAGGATTTTAAGGATTTTAAGGATTTTTAAATTTTTAAATGGGCCTGCCTCTTTCCGGAAAATGATTTAATTTTCTTTCAAAATTTTAAGGATTTTAAGGATTTTAAGGATTTTAAGAAATTTAAAAGGCCTTAAATTCCTTAAAATCCTTAAAATTTTGAAAGGCCCGGGCTTTCAAAATTTTAAGGATTTTAAGGATTTTAAGGATTTTTAAAATTTTAAATGGGCCTGCCTCTTTCCGGAAAATGATTTAATTTTCTTTCAAATTTTAAGGATTTTAAGGATTTTAAGGATTTTAAGAAATTTAAAAGGCCTTAAATTCCTTAAAATCCTTAAAATTTTGAAAGGCCCGGGCTTTCAAAATTTTAAGGATTTTAAGGATTTTAAGGATTTTTAAAATTTTAAATGGGCCTGCCTCTTTCCGGAAAATAATTTAATTTTCTTTCAAAATTTTAAGGATTTTAAGGATTTTAAGGATTTTAAGAAATTTAAAAGGCCTTAAATTCCTTAAAATCCTTAAAGTTTTGAAAGCCCCAACCTTTCAAAATTTTTAAGGGTTTTAAGGATTTTTAAAATTTTAAATGGGCCTGCCTCTTTCCGGAAAATAATTGAATTTTCTTTCAAAATTTTAAGGATTTTAAGGATGTTAAGGATTTTGAGAAATTTAAAAGGCCTTAAATTCCTTAAAATCCTTAAAATTTTGAAAGGCTTGGGCTTTCAAAATTTTAAGGATTTTAAGGATTTTAAGGATTTTTAAAATTTTAAATGGGCCTGCCTCTTTCCGGAAAATGATTTAATTTTCTTTCAAAATTTTAAGGATTTTAAGGATTTTAAGAAATTTAAAAGGCCTTAAATTCCTTAAAATCCTTAAAATTTTGAAAGCCCCAACCTTTCAAAATTTTAAGGATTTTAAGGATTTTAAGGATTTTTAAAATTTTAAATGGGCCTGCCTCTTTCCGGAAAATAATTTAATTTTCTTTCAAAATTTTAAGGATTTTAAGGATTTTAAGGATTTTAAGAAATTTAAAAGGCCTTAAATTCCTTAAAATCCTTAAAATTTTGAAAGCCCCAACCTTTCAAAATTTTAAGGATTTTAAGGATTTTAAGGATTTTTAAAATTTTAAATGGGCCTGCCTCTTTCCGGAAAATAATTTAATTTTCTTTCAAAATTTTAAGGATTTTAAGGATTTTAAGAAATTTAAAAGGCCTTAAATTCCTTAAAATCCTTAAAATTTTGAAAGGCCCGGGCTTTCAAAATTTTAAGGATTTTAAGGATTTTAAGGATTTTAAAATTTTAAATGGGCCTGCCTCTTTCCGGAAAATGATTTAATTTTCTTTCAAAATTTTAAGGATTTTAAGGATTTTAAGAAATTTAAAAGGCCTTAAATTCCTTAAAATCCTTAAAATTTTGAAAGGCCCGGGCTTTCAAAATTTTAAGGATTTTAAGGATTTTTAAAATTTTAAATGGGCCTGCCTCTTTCCGGAAAATAATTTAAATTTCTTTCAAAATTTTAAGGATTTTAAGGATTTTAAGAAATTTAAAAGGCCTTAAATTCCTTAAAATCCTTAAAATTTTGAAAGGTCCGGGCTTTCAAAATTTTAAGGATTTTGTGGTCCTTTTAAAATTTTGGAAAACCCCTAAATTCCTTAAAATCCTTAAAGTTTTGGAAGGCGAAGCAGGACCGTCAAATAACGCATAAAGGTCCTACATACATAGATAGATATGTAGGTGGTGATCTCATGGTGGTGCGACTAGGTGGTTGTCCTGAAGATGGCGACCACAAGTGACTCTTCTATGGCTGGGAGAATAGTAAGGAACAGCGTAGAGGTGAGGTTGCCAGGATCCAAGTGGCTGTTCTCTACCATCAAAGACATAAACTCGAAGATAAAGGCAGTCATGGTCATTACAGCCTCGGCAAACTTCACACGGGGCAGTTTCTCTGAATATTCTCGGACAAAGCGAAGCAGATGCAGCGGCAACCGAAAGAAGTAGTAGTCTGCGGCAGCGGCTGCCAACATGAAGCCCCACACGAGCTGCTGGATGTGCACCTGCCAAGAAAAAGCAGCACAACACACATGTGAGTGGCCTCGTCGCCGACTGGGTTAAGGTTGCGCTCGCCAAGGGACTGTGTCTCCAACATCGAAGTTCCACAAGGGGGCCACTTTCGTGTAGCCCATGGAGATAATGCAGATGACGATGACCACTGCACTCGTCAGATCATTCCATGTTCCTCGGAAGGTCGAGCTGAGCTGGTCCTTGGGGCCTTGGGGGGCCATGCCTTAAGCAGTTGCAGCCGAAGCGTCGACACAGGTCCAAAAGCCGGTCCAGAATGTCCCGCGAGCTCTTGTCAGTCATGACCTGATTGCTGCTACGAGTAGCTGCAGGCTCAACGCGAGCCAGCTCCGAATCATGTCGTTTTGGGGGAAGGCCCTTTCCTTTGACAGGACTTTGATTTGGCTTCTGCCCTTCTCAGAACTGAGGGTATCGCTGTAAAGGCGGCTGTCCTATCGCTAGCCACATGTCTGCCGTGAGCAATAACTTAGCATAACGTGTTAACTCTGCCAAAAGACAACTGCAGCAACATAAAAATCGCGATCGCCCTCTCTTCCCGTCCCGGTGGCTGTCTGCAACCAAACCCGGATTTTTTTTACTGTATTTCCAAGCCAAATTGCTTGGGGGTCCATGAGGCGCCAGACAGTTAAAGGATATACTTAACACCAAGGGACATCTTAACTCCCGCGCCCGGCTATAAATATGCGCCGAGATTGCCGGACTTGCTCTTGAGGCGAGGGGCAGGTTATTCCTCTGGCAGTTTGTGCAGCTGGGTCTTGTGTGCCTGTGCCTGTGCCTGTGCCTGCGCCTGTGCCTGTGCCTGTGTCTGTGCCTGTGTCTGTGTCTGCGTGTGTTGTTGTGTGTTGTGGTGTGTTGTTGTGTATTGTGTTGTGTTGTTCTGTGTTGTGGTGTGTTGTTGTGTGTTGTAATGTATTGTGGTGTGTTGTTGTGTGTGTTTTGGTGTGTTGTGGCGTGTTGGTATGTGTGTGTGTGTGTGTGTGTCTCTGTGCGTCTGTGTGTCTGTGACACTGTGAGTCTGAGTGACTGTGTCCGCGGATGTCGGGTTCGCTATCTGCGATTTCAGGTTGGTGAGGTTGCAGCAAGGGAGCACACCGGGTCTGTTTGCATCCTTCAGAGCACCTGGAACCTAGGGCGGGGAGCAGCTTGAGGTGACAAGATGTGCACCTCAAGCAGCTCAGTAGCCACTTTTTGTTTCTTCAGTCCTCGCTTCGCCCTATCTCAGACTATCGCCCCGCCCCTCCCCCAATCAGAAGCAAAGCTTTAAGGGCCCGACTCATTAAAAACTGCCGCCATCGGTGCTTGCACCAACTCGACGAAATTCTGCTTGAGATATCGTACATGCAATGAATGTCATGGTTACTGAGCTGCCTGACAGTTGCCGGATGTCTCTTGGCTGTCTCAGCTGTGTGCCAGGAAGAAGCTTCGGATGCACAGGGATATGAGAAAAAGGGGTCTGCACTGCCTTGCATGTGCAGCAACCGGAGAGGTGTCTGCAGGCAACATGCTGTGCTGTGCTGCCACCTGGAATGCTGCGCGAGCGCCTCTGACAGCAAACCTGGCGAGCAAGAGCACTTTTGAGCACTGCCCTGAACCCAATCAATATCTGAACATCCAAGTTGCAGGACCGACGTTTACCTACGGCAGCCAGAGCCGAAAGAGACTCCTCCTTCAGGCCTTCGGTCTCACGTTTGTTGGCAGCCTGTGACAGCAGGCTCACCTGAAGCAAGGAAACTGCGGGGGGGGGGGGAGGGGGAGGGAAATTAGGGAGCTGTTTCAGCTTGGAGGGCGCTGATGCTGCCGGGCTGCAAGGAAGACATCGCCGTATTCCTCTCGTATCCATGCCTCGCAGTGGAGGTCCCCTCAGACCCCCGGCCCAAAAATAGCCAACATAGGAGCTTGACCGAGAAAATCGGTTGCCAGAGCCTGCGTTGTCGATGGGAATATTTAGGAATTTAGGATCGCTTTGCTATTTCGGTCCAACTGTGTGGGCTTCCTTGTCCCAAACCTGGCACGGCAGAGCAAAGGTTAAATCTCAACAGTTTCACCTCTCCTTGAAGCCCAGGCCAAAGGAGGTTTTTGGCACTGAACGCCAAGGCAAGCAAATTTAATCAACCCCCAAACCTCCCATCAACACCTGTGAAAGGGGGAGGGGGGGGGGGTGGGAGGGTGGGGGGAGTGGGGGACGTTGAGAGACTTTGGGCGACTGTCTCGGAGGGAGTTTGCCTGGTGCTTCTGGAAGCTCAAGGCCACCAGCTCCGTGCCTGGGAAGATGAAGTGAAGGGGGTGACACTTTGGGGTATATGAGGGAGACCCTATTTTCGGACGTGCCCAATGCAGCCAACAGATGTGTCGGATGGGGGAATCCTCAGAGGGGCAGCAACAAACGTCCTGTGCCCAATGAGCCTGGCCACTGATTAACGGCCGCCGGGAGTATATGAGAAAATGTGGCTAAGGAAGGCACCCCCCCACCCTACCTCTATCAATTGCTTTAAGTCACCCGGTCATCCCCTAAAAGAATGTTCCGGTCATCAGGACTGAAAGTTGACAGGAGTATACGGAGATTGCATTCGACCAAAGTGTTGAAGTCGTTGAGGACTCCCGCGAAACCGTTTAAAGCAACATGTGCACAAACGCAAATTCAAATGGAGCTCCACGAGAAAGGCGTCCTAGAACCAGACTCAATATCGACAAACGACGAAACCCAGCCGCATGCCTGTCGACGCCTTTCTTTTGATAGAAAAAAGACAAGACCCCCGAGCCCGTCTGATCCAAGGCAGCGGCCGCGCGTCACCGTGACTCCAGAGGTGGACTTCTGTTCCCAATGAACCGGGGCACTGCCCCGTACCTTCACAAGGACTACTGCTGGACTTTGCCGAGGGTTTCTAGCTTCTTTTTTTAAGGCCCATCTACCGATTTGAAAGATGCCGAGGATATCGGGTCTGGCCTGTGTGAGTGCGAGCCAATGGTCTCCTCCTCCTGGAAGTCTCACCAACATCTCGCTCTCAACCCAGTTGGCGGCCTAACACGGAAGGAAGCGACTCAGCAATACTCAGCATGTAGCATGTGCTCTTTGACTACTGGCTTTCTCCAAGTGGATTCTTGGTCACAAAGTCATCAGAGAGAGACACCTCCCCGTGCCTCAGCTTCATCATCAAGGCCCCGAGCGTTGTAGCGCGTCCCCGCGTGCCTCTGGCTCCTGCCGCCACATGATCCTCATGGGGCCTTGTTCCTGAAGCCGTTTACAGTATGCTGTGTCTTCTGTGTGTCTTGAAGGATGACTGAAATGCAAACAACCTCGTTGCCCGGTTGGGGCGTGGTGTTTGCAAAGGCGGAAACACACGAACACGGCTCTTGGTCAGCTCCTGCGTGCAATGAGGAGCAGGCGCAGATTGCCAGAGCTCGGGAGCGCCGTGGGAAGCTCCTGCTGTTGGACGAATCCTGCGATGGAACGCAGCTTTTTAAGCACAGGGCGTGGATGGGGCTCAGCCAATGCTACCATGTAAGACATGGAGACATGTTAATAAGATCATGCCCATGAAGTGCCACCAAGAGAACATCAGCCCTTGCCCCAAATACCGACAACTATCAGAGGCTACCCGGCTTTTACATTCCCGAGTATCAAGCTGCTATGGCTAGGTCTATTGCAACGCTGCCGTCGAGGTGTCCTTGCATGACCTGAACAGGCAAGGTGCTGGTTGGGGGAAAGAGCACTGCAACATTCCGCCAACATTTGCTAGATTCTGCCGGGCTGCAGGTGTAAACCACCTCTCTGAAACCTCGGTGCGGCAAGCAGCCTCCCTAAGCCCAGTGCCGACATGGACTTCGCGCCAAAGAGAGTTTGACCAGGAGGCTCCCTGCCCTAGCAGTGGCTCGCAGAGCGACAGGTTCCACACCTGGGCCCATCGAAACATGACGGCAAAGGATCACGAAAGGCACAAGTTTGACAAATGATCACTGAAAAGGCTACCATGCTCCCACAAAGTCAACGGCCTTGCCCACAGAACCCCAATGGGTAGCCGACATATCGAGGGTCTGCGTGCAGCCTCAGGTGGCAAGCCTTGCCTCTATTACCCAAAGAACCTACTCGGGTCGACAGCAATCCGCCCCACAGCGGCCAGGGAAGCCCTCTAAACATCAGACCAGCTCCAAAAGCGTGCGTGGACGAAGCTTGTAAGCCCAAACCCCCCGGGGAGGGCGAACCTGACAACCTTGACCCCAAACAAACGAAGATCTGCGCAAGGGTTTGTACGATAGTCGCTAGTCGATTCTTTGGGTGGGAGGTCTCTTCCGTTTGCCCCTCACTTACCGCTTTTGGCCTAGTGCTGGCCAAACGTGCTCACGATCGTGCACTGGCCAGACCTGCTTTCGTTCTGTGCCACGGGACAATGAAGGACTCGGTTGTCTTTCCTGAGCAGGTGCAAGAATCTTGGGGAGCCCTTGTCCCAAATGCCCGTCATGTGCCTCGCATGGCCTTTTGAGCCTTTTTCAGTCGGGGATCCACGCGTCGTTGGAGCCTGCGGGTCAGATCCACTTTGTGCGAGAAGTAGAAATGCTCCTCGAGCAAGTGCGTGACCTCCGGAACAGCACACAACCCGTCAAAAATGACTCGCGGCTAAAATTGACACTCCACCACTCCGCCAAAGATCAGGCCCCGTTGTGTCCTAGCCGCTCCAGCTACACAACGGTTGATCCTACTAGTGCTCTGCCACTGCGGCCGATTTCGTTGGTCTAGAAGCTGTTAGGGTCTGTGCTTGGCTCAGCGGGTCGGCAAGGTAAGGTAAGAATATTTGCTCTTCTCATTTCTCTTGAATTCCTGCTTCTCTCTTTGATGTACGACATGTCGTGCCTCTGCACCTCCGTGCATAGCATTCTCAGTCATCTAAGTACTCCCTTCTACGCTGCTCTGCTGGCAGGTTATGCCCAGGCACTGTCGCTGCAGCTTCGAGCCCCTCACCTATGCCAAGATGCGCCAAGCAACAGGGGCGTGCGAGCATCTTGTACTGTACAACATGTCAACAAGCACGGAGTCTCCAGTAGGTGCCGAGGCACTCGTGGTCTCTCCTGCGGGGAGGGCCTCGCACCTCCGAAGTCTCAGGATGGCGTCCTTCTCGTCGCCCTCCCCGATTTCAAGAATTCAACACAGAGCCCTGGTCTCGTAATGGTCTCAGGTTTCTCAACATTGTGTGTTGTAGGGGCTGGGTGCCATAACATGCCGTCGTACTGCCGTAGTGTTACAGCAGGAGCCCACACTTTTAGGGGAAATGACCTGGCTCTTGCTGCAATTGATTGTAACCTTGCGGCCGAAGGACTATGGGCACGGCTTCCGTCGCCACGAGGAGGAAAAGATCCTCCCAGTCAGTCCCAAGCCGACATTGGGGATGGCCACCGATGACAACACTTGCTTACGCTTACCCCCTAAACCCTAAACCCTAAACCCAATAGGCCCTGAACCCTAAATCCTAAACCCTGACCTGGTTGTAGGTGAGGATTCCGAGGATGGCAAGGCAATCGAGGGGCTTGCCTGTGGCGCACCTGGAAGTCACCCCAAGGCCGAAGGCCGAAGGAAGTACAGGAAAGTGGACCGGAACCATGGAACCATGCTGCATTTTTTCCGCCGCCCAAGTGGCAAACTGACAAGCTTCTGCTTGAAGCCATCAGCCGTGTCCTGATCGCAGAGATGTGTTCAAACTTCTCAACCCAAGAGGGTCTGCTTGTAGAAATGGATCGAGGACAGTGTAGAACGCCAGTCCGGTCCTTCCCCTCTCGCGCCGCACCCGTCCTGCAGGCTATTCCAAGAAACCTCAGAAAAAACGTGCTCCGGAGACCGAACTACGCCGTGCTTCTAAATTTCAATGTCTTGACTCTGGCTTTGCGTGGGACAAAGCCACACATAGAACTCGGCAGCAAAAAGGACATATGTTGCCCCCCCCCCCCCACAACACAACTCTCGGCTGCCATAGGGGCTGGATCTCGGAGGTCCTTTGGCCTGCGAAGCCCTCAGAGCAAAGAGTGAGACTGAGGGAGTGAGAGACACAGCGATGGAATGTGCGTTGCGCTGGTTCCACTCCTATACTCCTTTTTGTGCTGGCGGGTCTCGGGGTGATCTCGGATGATGATCAACGACTTGGTGGTGTGAATCAGCCAGCGCTTTGCTGCTGTTTGGGGCTCAGCGCCAAAAGCAGCTGCCCAGGAAGCATCCATGGTCCATGACGTGCCAGCTATGCAAAGCGATTGCTACCCGTAAACGTCTGGTCTTATGTCTGCCGTGCTCCGCGGTGGTTTGACATAAGCTTGCTACGTCCGCAAAGACATGGAACCAAAGCTGCTGCTGCAGAAAGCTGCAAGCCTCACAACAATCGAAAAACGGACCGGGGCCCTGTGGACAATCGAGAACATGCCACGGCCCAGTCCATCGTGCCGTACCTCTTGTGGGTTTCCTTAGACTGTCAACAGCACTGTAAGACCTTCCGGTGCATTTGAAAAGTGTGTGGCCTACTCACTTGCGACCTGGAGGCTGTGCCCCAACCATTCCTCAGGCGCAGCATGCAAACGGATCGGGGCCCGCAAACAAACGCGCAACACACACACACACACACTCTCTCTCTCTCTCACACACAGACACACTGACAAACAGACACACAGACAGACACAGACAGACATTCACACACAGAGACAGCGAGCGAGAGAGAGGAGAGAGAGCGGGACAGAGGGTGAGAGACAGAGACCGCGAGAAGAGAGAGAGAGAGAGAGATAGAGCGAGAGAGCGAAAGAGTGAGAGAAAAAAGAGAGAAAACAACCACGAGAGCGTGAGCGAGAGAAGAGAGAGCGAGAGAGAGAGAGAGAGAGAGCGCGAGCGAGCGAGCGAAGCGAAGCGAAGCGAGAGAGAGTGAGGGAGAGAGACCGAGACGAGGCAACGAAATAGCCAAAGTCCACAGATGCTTGTGAGGTAGGGAGGTTTCGGGATTTCTGGCATCATGCATGGCATTTAGACCAGGCCCTGCTTCTGTTCTTATTGTCTTTGCTTTGCTCTGTAAATCGCCCCTGTCCCGTGAAGCAGCTGTGGCGGGGCGCTACGAATGGCGCTAACAAATGTGCAGCCAGGCACTCGTGTGGTGCAAATGATTGATGATCCCCTTGCTCAACGCGTAGAACAGGGTTGTTCACACACACGCACACACACGCACACTCTCTCTCTCTCCCTCTATCTCTCTCTCTCTCTCTCCCTCTCCCTCTCTCTCTCTCTCTCTCTCTCTCTCTCTCTCTCTCTCTCTGTGACACTTACACACTGGTGCACACACACACACATGCACACACGTACACGACTCCAGAAACACTGCACAAGTCATCCTCAAGTCTGACGCTTTCCCAGACCCTTCCTTTGACTCTGGTGAGGTCGGGAGGCTGCTCAGCGGTGACGCGAGCTGCATCCAGGAGAGCCCTCGCTTCATTGGGTGCCAGAAGGTCCTCGAACTCTACCACCTGCCGAGAGGCTACGCTTCAAGAAGCCCCCCCCCGGCTGACTCCGGTGAGTCTTGCAATTGGAAAGATGACTTTGTAGACAAAGCTCAGTGTCCAAAATCAGATCGCAATTGCACGTGTTCAAGGTAAGCCTCAGCTGCACGCGCAGGGTCCATCGCAGGTTTTCTGCAGGTGAATGACCAAGAGAACATAATCGGAGTTATATTATAACTACAAGGCACATGTCGGAGGTGAACTCCGTCTCCGGCCTTAGAGCTGCTTTGAGAGATCTGCTTGATTCGCAGAAGTCTCGTTGTGGCCACTCACAGACTTAGGCGGGCAACGCCTTCCGGGGCGCTTTGCGCCTCCGTCGAAGCCGCTTGGGAGCTTCACCCACCTCCCAGCCAAGGGCCCAGGACTATGTTTCCAGCATGTTCCCTCCCCTAATTCGTCAAACTTATCACGTGCGCTCTAACTGCTGCTGATTCACTGTGACTGGTACCGCCATGGTTCCTGATGTCCCGACTACACTTCGGTCCAACTTCCTTTGACCTAAAAAGACCTGACCTCGGCACGGCAGCTCAGGCGGCCACGTGCCTCTCATCGCAGCATTTCGCAGCGAGGGTTTTGGGGAACATTTGGACACGTTAGAGGCGCTGCAAGTTGCGCTGCAAGTTGCCTGGCGCCGCGATAAGAGGGCACATCCACCGAACACGGCCAGAGCAGCCTCACACGGCTGCATCCGCATCCCAACCATTTACCCTCCCAGACTCCGTGCGCTTCGTGGCTTCGTGCTGTCACACGCTCATTGTGACTCCGTAGGAAAAACTGTGGCTCTTACGGCAGCTTGCCCTGAGGCGATGCTGCGCGCATGATCCGGGGGCTGGACACCTGGGAGGATTGGCACTAGCTCCAACCCTAAGTCTTTAAGAACTTTAAGCCATAAACAAAGCCTCACAAGTCGTGGCCAGGGTATTCCTGGCGCCCTCGTTGGCGCTGCGTTTGCATAGCAGGTCTAGGGTTTTGAGTGCTTTGGAGTCCTCTCCTGGGGCAACTACAAAAGGCAGATACGGATAAGAGAGCACTTGAATTTAAGCAGGCCGCACATTATGCCCACGGCCTAAACAGAAACCGACTCACGGCACCCCCTTTGTTAGGCAGAATTCTTGAGTCAGAACTGGCCACACATACAACTTACATAAACGTACGACGCCTGCCAATCTCGGAGCCCAAGCCTAGAGTGGCCCGGCGTGGCAAGGTAATCGGCTCTGCGACGGCAGGCCGAAGGCCTCCCCGGTGCTTTCGGGGTGCTTTCGGGTATTCTGGGCGTCCAGGGCTCCTGGTCACCCCACATCACCCCCAAGGCCCCAAAGTTCAAGGACTCACAGTCTCAGCGCATCAGGAATCACTGAGTTGGGGGAATGAGAGCTCAGCACGCCTGCATGAGCTCAGGAATCAGCTACAGAGGAATCGTACTGCTGGCGGCGGTGATGCCAGGGGAACTCGATAATACTGTGACTGTGGTAGACCAGGTCAACTAACAAACCCTTCAGAACAAGTCTATATAGTTTAGGATGTCGAGATTTTACTCTCGGACTTCTTCCCGAATCTGGCAAACCGCACTGCGGAGATGTCCGCGACATGTTTGGAGAACAACTGTCTCTCAGTGCACACATGTGCACACAGTTCCTAACGCAGAACGGAATAAGAACGACCCCCATCCCACCCCCCCCGCCCCAAAAGAAAAAGAAGAAAAAACAAAGAGTAGAAGTCTTCCCATAAGAGCACCAGAAACATGACACATGGAGGGGGGGGGGCGGGGCCTCTCGAGAGTAAGGCCATGGCAGCGCGCTACTTGAAGTACCCTTAAACAGCTGCGCGACATCCGAGGGAGGACTGGTGAGATGCCTTACACTGCCTTGATGCTGTTGCACAGAACGTCGCAAATTCCCCACACTATCCCACATTTTAAGCTGTTTTATAAGCTGGTTTACTTGAGAATTCCACGGCTCGGGGTAGCCTGCGCTTGTGAGACAGCATGCATATGGGGCCATCGATTGGCAATCGTGCACATTGAAAAAACTGTGTTCTATCGATATTTACACGGCTGCTGCCCTGCTACATCTTTATCTTCCGAGCTACGGAGATGCAGTTCTTGAAGGTGCGGGATTCCTCAGAACGCATGTGCCACAGGACCCGATCGACGGGGTCCTTGGAATGGCGGAAATCTTCCGCAGTGTTGGAATCCATAGTGTCCTGCAACATGGTTCAGTTCACCGAAAAGTGCTTTGAATGACATCGCAATGAAGTCCTTCAGTCGCTGCTTCATGGACTGGCAATACTCCAGAATTGCGCGATTCACTTCTGCGTCGGCTTGGGTCCAGGACAGCCAATCCGGCTTCCTCACTGCCGTTTCCGAGGGCGTGGGGCAAATCCTAAATAGGTCCTGGGGAACGCGAGTCGGCTACAGTCTACAGGGTGGTTTGTTGTGCAAAACTACAAAGAAAAAACTTGTCTTGAGATCGCAGCCACAATGTTTCTCTTGCCGGGGGTCGTGTACTTTTCCGGCGGCGGCCACTTGTTCAGCTCTCGCAATCGGTTCTTCAACGCAGGCGAATACCAGCCGTTTGTGATGAACCATGACACTCGGTAGCACCGTACAAAGCTTCGCATAGGATAGCCTTCCACTGGAGTGCGGCCGCGGCCCATATGGCAAACAACATGCTTTTACTTTACGGCTTCCCAGCAGACCCAAGCTCAAGACTAGCTTAGAGAGGGCAAAACGCTGAAGAGAAAGGTTCAGGAAGGGCCTTGCTCGTTGAAGCGCATTTCGAAAGCCTCAAGAGAAGAGCAGTTGTAGAGGTCGTACTCCTTGCAGCTCCATGGATAGCTGTGAGGAAACGAGCCAGCGAACAGACCCAAACATTCATGTTAAGCTCCTTCCGACCCTTGGCGTTCTTGTTTTCACTCCAGCTGGGTGGCTGCGAGACATTACGACCAATCCCAATCGGATTCTCGCGCAGGCTGTAACCATGCCTGCAAAAAAGGACTTGGAGAACCAGAATTCCACAATGAGAGCGCAAGCATCTTACGGTGAGCGCCTGGCAATCATCTCGCTGTTGGACAAACGCCCTGGCCAAACAAAAATCTCCTCGCCCTTTGGCATATCTCGGCGAGCGATCTGCACGACCACATCCTGCTCTCGCTTTCCATCTATGACGACTTCTTCCTGGAAGGTGATGGCAACACCAGGACTTGCGTGCATTGCGACATCCAGCAGCTCCAGCAGCGGGAAGATGTACATGCCTGGAACAAAACTCAGCAAGAGGCATGCCACGCATACCCTTGAACCCGACTCTCGTGTACGAAGCACCTCTCTCAATTTTCCCTGCACAGGCACGGGGATTGCGCTCCTCGCGCTGATCCTGGTATGGGTGAACAACACGGCCGTGCCGCATAATCACTGCCTTGCGTCCACAAGACGTGCACCCCGAAACGCAGACTCGGAAAGCAGCAAAACATCTTAGGTCATCCCTCACAAAAAGGGTGGTTTCGAAGTCGAGACAAGCTACCAATGCCCAGGTAGCCTCCTCTTCAGTTACGGGCTTCCTCGGTTCCAACTCCCATGTACTGGTAGGTTTACGTGACAGAAGACAGACTCGATCTTTTGTTTCTTTTCCTTTTTCTTTGCTTGCAAGCTCTAGATCACCAACATAATGACATAACGTACCCCCAAGACAGGGTGCTGGCTGTCCATAGATCAGTGCACCAAGTCAGCCGCACATTTGTCTCAGCTCTCCCTCTCTACTCGTAGCTGGCCGTTCTTCGGAGATCCAGCCCTCTGACCGCCCCTCTTTGGAATTGTCAGACGAGGGACCTGCAAGGACTACTTCGACGCAGGTCTTCCAGGATCTCGCTTGGACTGCCAAGAGGAAAAAGGAAACCTCCAAAAAACTCCCATGTTTCTGGTATTCCTTGAAGTTTTCAAGGGGCGGCCTCTATGTGTTCCGCGTTCCGCGTACCAGTGACGCTCTCTCTGACGCCTTGGAGGGGACACGAACTTACGTTTGCCACTCTCGCCTGGGCGCCATGCTCATTTAGAGTGCCTTTAAGAGTGCCTATTGGGACACACCCCAAGTATGAAGGTCTATGACAAGCAGGATCCAGCAACTGGCTGGGGACTTTGGAGGCGTCTGCTAGAAGACAGGTTTTCCGGTCACCATATTGTCTTCCCGCTCTACGCCGCCAAGATCCAGTCTTGTTTCTCCTCCTTCAAAATCCTTCTCATCTTGCTTGTGGCTCACTTGCGTTCACGCCCCAATTCGGATGTTCACTCCTTGTACTAGACCTCAATTTAACTGGCACCAGTTTGTGCAGAGTCAAGACAGCTTGACCTTGACCCGTGAAGACTGCCAACTACGAGTAAGACGACGTGGAGACTCCAAAAACTCACCCAGGGCCCTGGGGCTGTGACAGTCAGAACCACATTCTGATTTGGTTCTCATGTGACCGCAGTCATGCCCACATGGTGACATGCCTGGATTTTAGGGCGCCGAGGATCTTCTTGAAGAAGGTCAGATTTGAGGCTGTGTCCAGGATCATCTGTTTTCTGAATGCCATCTCCTCGTTAGGGTTTAGGGCTTAGGGTTTAGGGTTGCAGGCCATGTGGGGCACCATCCTCCATGAACGTTCGACGACTCAACCCTCAACATGCACCAGGCCACTTGGATGGCTTCCTCCACTGTGGTGCCGATGAGCACCTTCTCTTGCCTAAGCTCCCATGTGGGCACTCAAGGACTCCTCCCTCCTAAACATTGTAGCACACCCTCCAGCCTTTTAGAGCCTTTTTGTGGTGACACCCCCGTGGCGCGCCGTACCACACCAGGGCACCGGTGCGTCAGCTGCAAGGCGAAGACCTTCGCATCTTGCGTGGCGTCCAGCCTCAGGGTGTTCTGCTACTCTTGGGCTTTGAGCTAGTGAGCCGTACGGTATCTACGAAGGATCCTGTTTAGGACTTGTTTCAGGCACCTTGGACTCCTTGGACCCATAAGCCAGACAAGGTCCTTATGCAGCATGTATCTTCGTGGAAACAGCTTAGAAGTGCTGCCAGAGGGCCAGTCTCGAAAGACCGACTCGGGATTCCGCCTCTCTGCAATGAGCGGATACGCCAAGCTGAGCAGATGGGTGTAGTCCTCACCTCGGACACGAACTTTGCCCTTCTTAGTGGCTCATCGAACGATTCTCAGCCCAGGGCTGGATATGTTGAAGGCCTTCTCCAACTTCCTGAGGAGGGCACGGAATCTGTAGTGCGGGGTGGAGTCAAGCTGTGCATGCTCTGTGCATGCGCTGTGCAATGATGACCCACCAAGACACTGCTGTTCGAAGAGGAAGCCTCAGAGACGTGAGAAGGAGTCTATCCGTATTAACCACATGATACTGTTGGCTATCCGTGGGGTTTGTTGCTGGTATCTATGCCTTGCTACGTGTTGGTGCCGTCTTATCACTCAATAGCCCTTCTGACGATTTGGACGATTTCCGGAGCCTAGAACGATCACAGTGACGAGGGTCTCAAGGCTTTGCACAGGCACGAGGCAACAAAAAAGGACACAGTTGATGTGTGCGCTTTCTCGGCCGGAAACCGCAGTAAGCCAATATTGGCGTATTGGGTTAATGGCCTCTGGAGCGGGCATTACCACTGGAGAAGATGGAGAGGTCATGATGCTCCGTCTGGTCGTGGGCCTACTGCCCTGCTTCCATACATCTAAGCTGTGTGGCCGAGGGGGCTGAGGGCTCAAGCAGTTTTGGGGTTCAAGGGGTCAAACAAGCTTCGCGTTCAGCTTTCCACCCCAAAGGTTGCAGGGAGGGGCTTAGGCAGGTAGGGGCATTAGGCCCTGAGAAATCAAGGCATATAACAACTTTTCCAATACGGGTGGCCAGAATGTGTCTGGGTCTCCTAGTCCAACCAGGGCACCTCACAGTTCTGATGCTGGTTATTCTAGGGGTTATGAAGAAAAGGGTCTTAATTCAACGACAGAAGAGTTGGGCCTGTAAGCTCCTTTCTCAGCTTCTCCTCCCTGGCGGTCTCCAAGGTCAGGACCGCCTGTTCAACAGGTGTGAGGATTAGATGAAGCGAGAGAAGAGAGCTTACCCTTTTTGAGGCGCTCCTGACGAGGGATCTTCATGATGGCACGGCCATAGAAGACGTCGTCCGACAGGACCTCGCTGCAATTCACAAAGTCGCCCCCCCCCTCCCCCAACAAAAAAATGAAAACAATCATCATCATAATAATAGTAAGAAAAATACAGGTATATCAACTCGGGTGATTTTTCTCTACAAGAAGGGCCCAGGCCATCGCCGTCCTGTTCCTGGCGGGCAGGCCACCGAAGGCCTTCTCCTCCACGACCTTCCGGCGGATGTTGAGCTGCAGGCCTCGAGATTTCTCTCAAAACAAGGGGCGGCTGAGACAGTCTGGTTATGTCGGGCTGCAGAGTCTCTTTTGGAGCGTTTGTGGCCTCTGAGGCTCCCACCTTCTTCCCGCATACTCTTCCAGAAGGCCTCGGAGGCTTTGCTGCAGCTTCTCTTGGAGCAGCCCACGTTGGTCCCGAAAGACACCAGAAATGCACCAACGCCAGAGCTGCCTTCGTCTTGAGGTTCTCCGAAGCTGCACATGCCTCTTCGGAATCATCCCCCACCCTCCTCATGAAAATAAACCCTGTATACGGCGACGTTATGGACATGCATCTCTTCAGCTGTGACTTCGCGACTCTTGTGCCTCACTGCCTGCTTGGCAGCTGTCGCCACTGCTGCCAGAAAGTGGCAAGAGCAGAAGACAGAGGGATCGCCATCCAAAGTTCATTGCGGCAACTTGGACCGGACCTTTGTAGGCTAATTCTGCCCTAACCCCCCTTCGCTTCCGTATGCGGCTGTTGCTAAGAAGGTATGTCTGCCACTCGATGGATGGGGTCGCTTCTCATGCCTCCTTGTCAACCTCTTTGTCAAGAGTATCCATGTTCAGTCTCAGCTGGCAATATAATATGAAGTGTCTCAGGGCAGGATGCTCAAAGAACAAGCCGGACGAGACTCCTAAAAGCTGTGCCGCTCCCCGCGGACTGCTTTTTCACAACTTCGCTGCTCCAGTTGGAGCTGCACGGTCTACGCCAGGAATCCGCCCAGGGAAGCTCATCAGCCCGTCATCCAAAGCCTCCAAGACCTTGCAAACTGTCCAAGCCCCGCCCCCCTAATACTAGAACCGTCCCCCCCCCCCCCGCCGGGCAATTCTAAAAGCCGCCTCGGCCGGAAAACATTTATAAAATTAGGGGGACCTTTTCGCATGGGACTCGACTGCTGCCCTTTTTGCCCAGCCCGCCCCCACACCACAGTGCCTATGACTGCAGGGCGAGAGTCGGGGGACCTAAACCCTAAAACCTGAAATCTGAAGCGTGGGAGAGAAGGAGGCATAGGGTTTGGAAGGTTCAGTTACGGTTGCCTTCAGCCCTAAACCCCACACCCAAACCCATTTTTTGGACCACCTTTTTTGCCTCAAATGGGTACCGCCCCTAGGAAACCGGGTCCGCAAGCGGACAGTTCGCCAGGACCAAGGCAGTTGAAACCCCTCCCAGCGGGCCCCCCCCCCTTTCCCCTTTTCTTTATTGTTCCCCCGCCCCCCTACCCCCCCCTTCCCCCCCCCCCTCCCCCCCCACACCCCTTTCCCCGCCCAAAGCCAGTGCACAATATTGGTGAGGGGGTTTCGAGGCTCAACTGGTGTGAGCACGGCCGGGGATGCATTACACGAGCCGAACCTTGAAACCCTTAAGCCCGACGATCAGTCCAAGCCGAACCGTCTCTTAAACCCTAAACCCAAAAAAACCCTAAACCCCAAAGCGTGAACCTCGAGCCCTAAGCCCTCAATCCTAAACTAACCCTCAACCCTAAACCCCAAACCATAAACCATAAACCTAAACTCTAAACCCAACCCTTATTGCTTGGGGTCCAGCGACTTGGGCGCTGCGGAATCACCATGCTCACGCGGATGCGCTGGGCCGGGCCGAGGCGGGTCGCGTAGCGTTAAAATTAGGGTGGGGTTTAGTATTAGGGGGAGGGGATCACTTCAGCCTCGTTAGCCCTCAGCCCTTGCCTTTCCAAACTGCGGCGTTCCAGGCTAAGCCCTGAAACAAGACCAGACACAGAACAAATGGGTCCTTAAACCCTGACATAGCTTTGTAGTACTTTCAACCTTACACCATAAACCCTTAAACCTCATAAACCTGGATTCATTGAACTCCGATGCATCACAACCCCTCGTTGGCCATTAATCCCAAATAGTGTTCACAGGGGGTCCCGATCTATTAATAGGGGACCCCCTGTGAACACTTTTCGCGGCGAAGTGGGGTCCAAGCAAAAAGTGTTCACAGGGTCTCCCAATAGGGGACCCCCTTTGAGCATGTCGAAAAGTGTTCACAGGGGCCCCTAGCAGGGGACCCGTCCAGATTGTTTTGCCGAAATAAATGTTGACTGGGGACGGGCCCCCAGTTAGGGGACCCTTGTGAACACTTTTCGCCGCGGAAAGTGTTCACAGTGGGTCCCCGAATAGGGGACACCCTGTAAACCTCTTTATGGAGCTTCAGGTCCAGCATGTTAAAAGGGTTTCATATAGGGCTTAAGGCCTTGGGATCTCAGGTTTCAGAGCCGGATGAGGTTTGGAGAGTGCAAGATAGTATCGTCTCCCATTTAGCATTTGTCCTTTTGTTGCGCGTACGATAGGATGCGACGATGGAGGGAGAGATGAGAGAAGGGCATCTCAGGCCTGGGGGGTGGTGTTTATGAAGGCCACACGCTATCAGGTAGAATGGCTAATATAAAAGGTAACCAGGTATGCGGAGAGTATGTGGGGTTGGACAAGTGGTGGCAGGGAAGGCCAAACCTGAAACCCCGAACTGTAGCCCAAACCACCCACAGGCTGGCAAACACGAGAACTTCGTGAGATCCTCTCTGGGCCGAACCTCCCCACCCCTCCCCCCCCTTTTCCAGGCGCCTGCCGGTAGAGCCGCCTCTTCAGACCTCCGAGCGCTGCACGGGCCGGCCCAGCCCCCTTTGGCCGCAGTAGGGCTGCCAGGGCTTGGGCCCTGGGCCTTCGGAAGCGTAGGGAGATTTCAAGGGATCAGATTCGTAAGTGGTTTTAAGGAAAAAATGCTTCATACATAGAGCTATATAGAAAATGTCTCACTCGGTGACCATGAAATTCTTGAGATGTTTGAGAAGTTGAACTGGGCTGAGTATGGTGTCAACATGCAATGCCGTAAAAACTCCTGGATGTCTCCGAATCAACACAAAAGGTCTCCGAAGGCGAGTTCGCGTCGAGGAGCAAGACCTCGTGTCGGGGCACTGCCTCATCGACGACCCCTGCCGCCAAGAGTTCTATGGCGGTCCATCTCCTCCGTCATGAGCAGTTCTTTACATCTCCTTTACAAGCTCATTTACAAGCTCCCGGGCTTCATTGAGAGATGATGCCCGTACTACCGGTAGCACTGTGTCGTCTCTCTCTCGGGCCTTGAGTTGAACAGAATCACATCTCGATGCAGGCTACGAGGAAGCTTCGCCTGCGAAGGTGGGTGCAAAAGCACAGGGCTTATAGCTATGTAGGAGCCACATCTGTTGAGGGTCGGCGGCCACCCGAATGGTTCTCAGCCCATGGTGCTGTGACCCCTTCAAGACATCGAGGCCCTGTTGAAGCATTGCCCAAGCCCTGCGTATTCGAAGGAAGCATCATCCCTTGTAAGGGCCCCCGCTCAGCAGGCAAAAAGGGAGACCGCTCATGAGTTGCTCACTTGCTGTGCTTGTCTTCAGGAATTTCTCACGATTTCGCATGCGTGCCGAATGGAAAGTGAACTGGACAGTGACAGTCAGGGATCCAACAGCGGCCTTCATGAGCTCTGCTTGGAGGGGGGCATAGACAAGGCCCAGGTCCACCCCTGGGATGAAGAAGAATCCTGGCCATGATGGGAAGGAGCCTGTGCTACGCAAGGAAGCTTGCCTAAAGGCTCCCAAGTAACTAGTACCTTTCTTGGGTAGTACACTCGCCTCCCGTGTATCTAACAAGAACCCGAGCCTTCAGGTAAGTAGGGCTCACCGGATGTTCACGGGGCCCGGGATTTTGACTTCGAGCGCTGATATGCTTAATTTCAAGTGGGTCCTGCGTCCCGAGACATGATGCGAAAATCGAAGGCCAAACCTTGGAGAAAACCACGCGTGGAAGCACTGAAATGTATGGGCATGAGGGCCGCATGGGGGACCCCTGGAACTGCGGAGTTTTCAGAAACCGCCGCCCATCAATGTCAATTCTAAGAACTGCAAAACGAGGTTGTGCTACGCCAGAACGACACTCAGCTGAATAAAGCTTGCATCGTTTTGGTTTAACTGTTACTGTCCTCCCCCCCTTTTCCCTGCGCTTGTCTTACAAAGGCCTGCCCGTTGTGTTCTTGCGATTTGGGCTTCTAGTTAAGGTAATGGTTGCCCCCCGTCAAACAGACCAACCACTCTGCAGGGAAACAATCGAGCGGGGCTATAGGTTCCAGGATTATGTTCGGTCAAAATCGTGTGGAATGGCACCTCGACTTTAAGCGAGATACAGGCCATGATATAGGGCGAAGATATGCACCACCCGCGATCTCTTGACAATGGCTTACCGCTACGGTTACATCCACAGTGCTTGATTCCACCTCATTTTATCCCAGCCCTATTCATTTAGCTAACAGTGACGGTTTTTACGGGTGGCGCCTGCTATCCTGGCTTAGTGGCCACGGAAGTCTTCCCTGTTTGGTTCCATGTCGTTCCCAAATGCTCACTTCTCCAAAATATGGTCCCCAGAAGGCCCTAATTTTGAGAGCTGACCGTACTTCCCCTATTGAAATGCACCCTAAGTTCGAAGGGCCTCCGAGTGGCCCATCATCCCACCCGCTGCGCACCAATGGCCCCGGAAGGCTCCGAGGGTCGGCCGGGGAAAGCAGCAGATCCTGAAAAGTCTCAGGTTTAGGGTTCAGGGTTTAGGTTTAGGGTTTAGGGTTTAGGGTTCAGGGTTTAGGGTTTACAAGGTTTAGGGTTGAGGGTTTAGGGTTAATGGGTTTATGGGTTTATGGGTTTAGGGCTTCGACTCTCGCACTCGCTGAAGCAGGCAAGGATTCTCAGGTGTAGGGATTAGGGTCTCCTACAAACATCCGCTAAACCCTCATATGGGGTTAAGGTTTTTTCCCCCTTTTCTGCGCCTTTCGTCGCTCACTCTCGCAGCTTGCACAAGGCAGGCAAGGTCCGTCGGTCCGAATAGGCTAAATAGGGTAATCGGAGTCCAAAGCCAAGCAGTTGCATGGGCCGTAAGGAAACCCACAGGACACGAGGAACTTTAGCGCTTAGTCTCGGGCTCTGGAAAAATTGGACATCCGGGTCCACGACAAGACAACACACCACCGAATCCACCCCAAAACAACCAAACAATCAAAGATCCTGACAAGCGCAGGAGGAGAACGGAACTTGTCATGGTTGTTTTCCCCGCCCGCCCAGCTGAACAGTACGTCCAAAATGCAGGGACTTGGCATTAAGTTGGATGGGAAGACTTGTTGTAGCAAGACGACACGTTTCAACTGCAGTGATCATTCGCTTGCAGCCAAACCAGGTTTCTTGCACGTCGGTCGACTTCGTGAAGCGGTCTTCCAGAAATCATCTGGGTTGAGGGTTTAGGGTTGTGGTTTATAGCGACCCTAACCCTCTTTGGTTCAGGGTCTTGTTGGGTTTCGACTTGCAGTTTCAGGGTTTAGGGTGAATCATAGTGTTCAGAACCCGTATTCGCCTCGGCTTCCTGCCGAGAAGCGTCTGGAACAAGCAGACCCGGATCGGGCCTCCTTCCCCCTAACCCAACCCCGCCTGTCGGCGGCTCCTACAGAGGGGGCGCTCCAAAAAGGAACTTGTGGCGTTTTAGCATTGGGAACCCTTCCTGGGACCCCCCCCTCCTGGGACCCCGGGACCGCAACCCCCCCTCCCCCCCCAAAAAAACCCTGCTGGGACCTTTCGTCTGACACCTTCTTTGGGACTTCCGAATGCCTGGGGACCTTGCTAGAAATTCTTGGATCCTTTCTGGGGACCCCTTTTTGTGAGGCCTTTGCCAGAAACCCTCTTTCCTCCTTTCCTGTCCGTGGGCCGGCCCGGCTGCCGAGGCGGCGCGCGCAAGCGTTTACAATTACCCTCACAGGGTCTAGCCAGGGTTTCCAATCTTTGCAGAGTTTGCGGTGTATGATTTTGGCCACGTTCACTAATTTAACTGGTGCAAGTGAGACAGAAACACCTTCAAACTTCGAGGGTGTTATTGACTCTCTCGAGCGTGCCGGGCTCAATGGGAACCCGAAAATATGGAAATGCACGAGAGAGCATCCTAAAAGTGTCAGGTCCGTCCTTGCCATCAGCTGATTGGTTTCCTGCTGGAGACCGGCCCCATCATGCTGGTCCAAGTATCGCAAGTCCATGCCATTGGACCAGTACTTTCCTCATATAGGACTTCGAGAAAAGCTGCAAATGGCTCCTTGCCCCCCCCCCACATGCTTCGCAAAGAGCTCTCATTCAAGCTCAGCTTCCATTGTTGGTGACCACCAGCACCTCATGACAATCGTGATCATGTTCATAGCTTCCCATACCGTCCGAGGGACTCCAGCAAACTTCCAGGACCCCACTCAAGTCCCAAACCGTGGTTGTTTTAGAGAGGCTTCCGGCCCGTTTTGAACCCAATATACGAACGGAAACGATGAACTGCCTAAACCCTAGAATAAACCCACTGCAAAGCTGGCATATGTGCGGGCCGCAAGGCATCGACGGACTCATCCGCCTCGACCGCGTCCAGTGCATCAGCCAGAGCTCGCACTGTCACCTTTGGGCGCAGCTGCTCACTGGGATTGGGATGTCCCCATCTTGAAATGGGCAACTTAAACTAAACAAACAGCTGCCCCCAGAATTCTGCCCAAGCACAGGGTTAAAGCGGTGCTCCTGCCGTGAAGTCCCCCAAGGCCAGTTGCCAGGTTGGTCAAGCCAGGTCAGCACGGCCACTCCGTCTCCTCAGCGGTGGAGGAGGATTCATGACCATTCCCTCAGTTGTACTGAGAAGATGACCTCCAACTTGTGAAAGTGGGCGTTTCGGGGGGAGTGGTCTGTGCAGTAGGGACACCGTTTTGAACATGAGTGCGCAACTTGAACCATGCTTAGGGTCGAATGCTGAGGGAGAACTCATCCCCGAAGACTGCCGCCGCCATTCGGGCAGTGCTATGATTCAAATTCTGCGAAACTGCTGCAAGGCTCTAGCTTGGAAATTAAACCAGGTCATGCTCGCAGGTGCTGGGACATCTGGGACCACAGAATGCTCGACCGCTGCTCAATCTACGACATGCATGGCTGGGAATTGGAAATCTGCGCGGCCGCGCGTGGATCCATACGGGCACTCGACAGCACGGGGGCACTACATGGCAAGCACACAAAGCACTTTTTGATGCTGCTATAGGGTATATAAACGATTGTCAGCGCCATCCGGGGTCCGTGTTGTTGGAATCATCCTCAGGAGGAAAAGATTCTCAAAACCCCTCAGAGCGCTCGAATCATCATCCTGAGCCCCATGCCCAGTCGTAGACGTTTTGGCAAACAATACAGTTGTATCCTCAGCTCCGTATTGAGCACCGTGCAAAAGTGCAAGCTACCCCCATCGCACATCGTCCCATCGTGCATCGGTGCTGCTGCGTTGAAGGCGGTGCAGTAGGATGTCCTTCCCGACAATGAGAGCTCAGAGTGCAAAGGGCGTGGTCGCACCTATGAAATTCTGTTTTACCCTGTTTAAACCTTACGCAACTACGATGACCGGCCATTTGCATGTCTTTACTTTGCAGACCAGGTTGCCTGCATCTCCTGTTCGAAGCGAAGGTCCTTGGAACTGGTGAGGGCTGCATGGGGGGCACCTCCGGGTTTTGTCATGTTATTCGGCTTTCCAAGCTAGGGCTTTTTCTGCGGTCCCCAGCCTGTGCCCCACAACCAAAGAGACCCAAACCCTTTTTTTACCCAGGGCTCTAAACCCTATAACCCTATAAGCCCTATAAGCCCTAAACCTTAGCTTTCTGCCCTTTCCGGGCCCCGCCTTGAACCAGTTGTGCCGGATTGCCAGGCCCAGGGGCGCGGTGAAAAGGTGGGGTTCGCCCTGGGAGCTCTGCTTCTGCTTGTGAAAATATAGATATTAACACAGCTACATCTAAAACTCAAGTCTTAAGAATATAAATAAATATAAATAAATATAAACAAATAAATAAATAAATAAATATATACATGTATATATACATATATATATATATATGCATATATACATATGGATCCGATCTATGTATATGGATATATATATATATATATATATATTTATATTTATATTTATATTTATATACATATATATACAAACAGACATGACATGTTTCTTAAACAGCATGGGGCTTGCGGGCTTCTTGTGGCGTTGAGCGCCCTGAGCTACTGGCCAGCGCCGTCACCTGAGCTCTCCGCAACACTGTGGAGACTGTGAGCTCAAACTTGACCACCGCAAACTTAACGAGAGCAGCACACCATAGATTGACAAATTTCTGTCCTCGCGTCTTGTTGCGCATCAGCTGCTCTCAGGCATTCGGCAATGCAGCATGCTTCTCCGAGTGGATCGTGTGCACAGCGGAGCACATCGGATTCAAAAGGGGTTGGATTCCGGCAGGCATCTTGCTGTTTGGCGACGCCGGCCGGAATCGAACTCAGTTCTGCAGTCTACATTGCGGACTCTGCGGACTCTGCCGCTGTTGGATCCGCCCTTGGCGGTGCTAATGGTGCAGTAGAATTAACCGCATCGAGGCTTCCTTCGCTAGGAGCTCGAGTGTATATGGCTAGTGGGCTGTTCTGGCTGCCAGTCAGCGAGTGCATCTATCAAACACCGGGACGGCGTGCGTAATACTTGTGGATGGCAGGCATTTGTCTGTGTATGCTCGTCGTTATTGTGCCGTTGACATTTGTCTTGGCATGTGTTGATTGCACAACGGAAGCGATGGTGGGAGAATAGAGATTGAAGCAGTATCGACAACACCATGCATCATTCTCATACTCATATAGTAGCGTGACAACCGGACTGTAGCACTCGCGCTGGGAGAGACGCAATAATCATGATGCCCACTCCACACTGAAGTGGTGGGCCTGTACACGCCCACATTGTGAGCGATCTCAGCGGAGCCAAGACAGGCTGCCGTCATGCATGACTGGACAAAAAGTTATTGTTCTAGATTCTAGAATCTAGAGAGCAGGAAGTTGGATTGGATGCTGCGCAGCAAAAGCGAGTCGATGCTGGGCTGTTGAGGCCACCGCAGCTGTTCTGGATTAGCATGGCTCAAGAGAGATGGCGCAGCTTGGTTTGCCTGAGCTTGCCATGTTCGCCGCAGACAAAGCATGGGCATCATTCACTATACTATAGTTCTTAAGCTCGCTAAGTTGCATAACTCTCCCTATGTAACTATGTAACATCAGGAAAGTCACGGGAGCGGCGGGGTTTTGGCAGGCAACGCTGTGCGCCCCAGAAGGCCGGGCACTGCCTGTTCTGCTGCCGCTGGGGCTGGGGACACGGCAGGGATCGTTGGAATTTGTGAGATGCAGGTGGCCCGGGCTCTGCGTCGGAACGTGCAACCAGTGCAACCAGTGTACCAGCACACGCCAAGAAGGCTGAGCAGACAGGCCATGACGACTAACCAAATGATTCCTCGAACAAGTTGGCCTGAGCCATCGGACGCACCGGCTTGAGCTGATGTGGGGGATGCAATGGATGCTGGTGGGCAAGGCAGGTACGGGCCAAAGCCGCACCAGCGGCACTCCATGTGGCTCCCATCTGCATTGCAGCCGACACCGCCACCTTGGCAGGAGGGGTCCCAAACAAAGGGCGTGGCTTCCGGCGGGTGTCGGGGAAATGTGCAGTCGCCGGCCGGTAAGTCACCCAGGTTTGGAGGCGCTGAAGGTTCCACCGGCTCCACTGGTTCCACCGGTTCCATGGACTGGCCTGTTCCCACACTTGTGGCACTTGCAGCAACTGTGGACATCCTTGACCATGGAAGCAGGGCATGATACCAGCTCCTCGCATCCGAAGTAACACCTGGACAGTCTTCAAGGTCTGTGCCCGAGCCGCACCACAATCCATAGGTTCCGAAGGCATTGCCGCAGAAGAAGCGAGGCATGTTCTTCTGCAGGTATGCCGAACAGCTGGACTGCCCGACTATCCGCCGAGGACGCCGCTGTGCTCTGTCAGGCGCGAGGATGGTTGGAGCCCGTGCCGTGCCAAAGGAGTCAGGGGAGTAGACGTAAGATCCCTCGATGTAAGGCGAATCCCAGGCAAGGCACTCAAAGCTGACAAGATGTGAGGAACTGGAATCACCGGAAGTTGAAGTGGGGCCCTGCAGCGCCCGTGCCCACAAAAAATCATCCTCCGTCGAGTTCGGATTCAGCTCCTTCATTCCCTCCACATACAGCGGATTCCCATTCCCGCCAAAGGCGCACTTGGGTTTGGCCACGTGGAAGCTTGGTCGGGAGCCCCTTGTTCTGAGCCAGCGGCTGTTCTTCACGTGGATGCCGGCATCATAGAGCTGGAAGAAGGTCTCCGAGACGTCGCCGCTGATAAAGAGGGACTTCTCAAACACGAGCGTGAAGCCAGGGGGAGAGGCATCGGTCACCTTGAAGCAGGCAGCGGTGAGTTCAGGCATGCTGGCGGCCACAATATGGCAGTCGAAGAAGATGGCGCCTGTGAAGTGAATGTAGCCGCCCGAGGCCCAAACAGCCCGGGCCTCCGTCTCCACGGGCCCATAGATGTGTGCAGCTAGGAAGTCTTCGAAGTGGTTCGCCTGAAACCGGTAGCTCCGCTGCCCCAGCGGCAAACTGGCATCAAAGTGCATGGGCACCCATGAACTCGATCCCTCCAAAGGACCTGCAGGGATGTCCCCTCAGCCCCTTTTTTTTTCAAAGGGGTTTGCGAAAAAAAGGGTGCCCTAATATAGACCCCCAAATAGTAAGATTCTCCAATAATGAGGACCCCAATAAGGTACCCCGGAATTTCGGAAACACCCATATTGTTCTGACTACTGGAGGTTGATTGAGGGGGCAGCCCCAAGGCCAAAAGGGGTTGAGGATTGAAAGGGCCTTGTATCCATTAGATTTTAAAGGCGACATAGGCTTGTTCCATTTTCACATACACACAGTGAGAGGCATGTACACATATGTGGGGTATAGAGGGTTTCGTTGAGGCTTGCTAGGGCTTCGGGTCAGGGGTTTGAAACGACGCCATGGGGTGAAGGACGCCGGTACCCCCAAAGTGCCCTGTAAGAAGATGCCCCACACACCCCCGCGATCGTTAGATTGGCTCTTGGGTGTTTTTCTCCCGCGAGGCGAGCTAGGCAGGTTCTGGGTCAGGGGTGGTCAGGGGTCGCGGAACTACTGCTTTGTCAGAATTCTACTTGGGATTGTGACTTTCGTTTTTGGATGCCAGCATACGTCTATGCCCTACGTGCGATTGCGAGAGGGGTCACGTCCAGGATATGCGATTCTGCTTCTCCAAAGGAGAACCGGATCTTGGAAGTTGCGGAAGCAACCACTTTCTGAACCGCGTTAGCCTCATATCTACAGCACGGAATCTACACAAGTCAAGTCGAGATGACAGGAACACCACCCAACATGAAAGCTCATTTTGTGTGCCCGCAAAAGCGAGTTGGGGGAACCGAACGAATAAATTCAGGAGCCAAGCCCCCAAATCCCATTGCCTGAACAGGTGGAGCAGATGTCACCCCAACAGGGCGTCTTCTCATCTGCGGAGTCCAGCACCCGGCCATCCACGTGAACTCCGCGATGAGCGGTGCCGACCGCATTGTGTCGGAACTGGGGTACCGGAGTTTTAGACTGCTCTTGGTGTAGCCACCAGCTCGTGGGCCCATGCCCACTCCGGCTATCGTTGAAGTACCGCCGGCTGAGCCCCATCGCGCTGACGTGCCTGTGGTCACAAAGGTCCGTGGCCGCAGGGCCGCAAGGCTCAGCCGGAAAGGTAAACCAATAGCCCGTACCCGCTCCGATCACATGGTTCTCGGTAAAGCTGTTATTGGGGTTGGTGATCCAGAAACCTGATGGCCCCAGTTGCAGGTTCGTGCGGGGACCTCTCCCAAAGGTCCAGTCAGTGCACACCGATCCGCCTTGAAGGACGGAGAGGATCAAGTTACCATTGAAAGAGTTGCCGGTTTCGATGCCATCTTCAAGATAGAAGGCGTGGCCAAAGGTCTGGAAGCAAACGTTGCTCTGCACCAGGACACCCTCAGTTCCATGTATGGTCAGGCAGCGCTGGAAGTTGTGGTGCATGGAGCTGTTGCGAATGTAGTGGCCATATGCTCGACCAGCCAGGTGCCAGTGGACCGGATACCGAGCCATTTGCAGCCCCTGCCCAAGCAAAGCCAACTCGGCGTGCTCGATGTGGATCCTGGAGTTTTGGACGAAGAGTAGGTGGCCCCCAAAGCACGCGGAGCGCACCGCGTGCACCGCGTCACCAGCCGCTGCAGGGCCCAGAGAGGCGAGAGGGGCGAGAGCAAGCCGGGCGTAGGCTTTCCGGCACCTCGCCCAAGTCTCCTCTAACGTCGCGTTGGGATCCGGAGTCCCGAGGATGCGGAGATTTCGGCTCAGCAGCCCCACGGGGGCATTGAGACGAAGGCCACGACCGCTGAAGGCTCCTTCATGTCGAGCCCGGAGCTTCTGCAGCAAAACGACCTCAACGACCTCATTCCTTTCCTTTCCCTCCACTGCCCGGACCGTGGCCACTTCGGAGTCTTCCAGCTCAGGGGACGTAGCACCGACAACGATGCGGTCACCCGGCATCCAGTTCCTATAGGTTTGGTTGCACTTTAAGCCTTTAAGCGCCCTCCTCAGCTCTCTCCTACTTTCTCTCTTCCCTTCCTCTGACACGGTGCTACTTCAGGAACCGGAGGCGCCAGTCCAACTTTCAAGACCTCTGGTCAAGACCTCTCAAGCCAAGGTTCACGGCGCTGGACATCGTCAGCCGGCTTTCGCCCGGCAAGGCTGTCGCTGCGAGGTATCCCCACGCCACCCGAGGGGCCCCGTGCAGCTCCAAGCGACCAGTGTTCGTCACCAAGAAGGCTTTTGGGAACGCTATGCCCCGACCCCCATCTCCATCATCTCCCATGTCCGGAAGGCCCGCTTCGCGCCAGCTGAAACGGACTGCGTCCGCCTCCTCACTTCAGAGATCCCCCCAACTTTTGTGGAGCTACGGGCGTGGGAACCTCCAGGCAATGCTGTTTAGTATCTTGTATAATGCGAAAGCATGTGAAGGCTCTATATATTTGCCCATATGCACAAATTCTACAATGATTGGAGCACATTTTCCCATATAGCATGCTAGTATATGGCACACTAGAGGTCGATTCGCAAACTCCTCCTGCCAGGAGCCGCGAAGGCGTAGCTCGAAGTCACCGTCGTAGGGCAGGGAGCTGCAACCCACCCAAAGCTCCCCATCCAGGCGAAAGGCCCCGGTCTCCAACTCGGCGTGACGCTGCGCAACACTTTCGCACGTGTGAGCTGCATACCTATACATATAAAGATACATACACGTATACATACATATCTGCATACACATACCAATCTCTCCTTGAAAACATGGTCTACATATCTGCGTACAGGCAAAAAGTCCTTCCGAGTGCACTTCTACACCTGTCTTACACAAAGTCCGCAAAACAGGCGGGGGCCTCGACTCGAGCCTTGCGGTGCACCAGGAGCCGCACGCCCGCTTGGACGGTCACGGACCGACTCCGCAAGCTCAAGGCGCCTTCAGTGCCCAAGAGGCCTTAGAGCCGTGATTTAAACTTGCAGTAAGAAATCAGTCGAGCTTCTCAGTTCGGGAACTACCCCCCTGGGCGCTGTCAGATTCCCACCCGATCTCCTTCACCCTGATATCTGCAGTTCTCGAGTCACGGCCAGCGGATCTGTTCCGGTTTGCTCTCACGTGGATACCATGATCACCTCCTATATCGCATTACTTCTCCGGAGTCGTAGGTTCTCATGTGCTGCGTAAAAAAGTTGTATGGCGGAAGGGCCAAGGAACAGTCGGTGGAGATCACCAGATCTGCGGACCCATTCTGCAGCGCGCAGGGTTGCAAAACCTCTTCATAAGGGCAGCGTGCCGACGTCCCAACAGGGCAAAGGATCAGGCATAGCAAGGAACTTCCTACTCCGAGCATAGCTTCAAGCACCGCGGCTGCGCAGGCACAGACTCAGAGACTAACATTACACCACCGAAGACCCCAAACAGGCAAAGGCACGTCAAAGCAACAGTGGAGACAAAGGCAGACGAAGGGAGACAAAGGGAGACGAGGAGCACAGCAACCCGGCAAAGCCACCCACAGAGGGGGAGAAAGGGAGACACAGGGAGACAAGGAGGTCAGGAACCCGGAAACAGTCCTCAGAACGTCTGCAATCCTTAAATGAATTTTAGAACCCCAACAGTAGACTGTTTGGGGAAAAAAGCGAGGGCCCAAGCGTCCGCAGATCTCTGGCTTCCGAGCCCCTCGCTGCGGCATACTTTTCTTGCATCTTCTGGTCCCAGCACATGTTCAAGCCTCCCGACGCAGCAACACAGGGCCACAGACCGCACACATGCAAAGCGCTGAACCGTGCGCACTGCGCGCACTGTGCACCTTGAGGGTTCTCCATTTTCAGGTGTGCCATGTCCTTGCGCCAGGGGGCTGGGAGCCCCTTCGAGAAAGGGGCACCACGGCACCAGGTTATGAGTTCTTGTGAGGTTTCGCTTCTATAGCACTTTTGGTGTACGCCGTCCGGTGGCGCCACGTGGGCGTCTGCGAATATAAGTCGAGACAGGCTCGCAGAGCTCGCAGTTCAATGTCCTGGTAGACATCTGGCACATCGTACCTCAAGGCACTTGTCTGATTCCTGATGACGATGTCGGGATCTACTGTACAGGGTCTAGAGTCCAAGCACCGCGCCACTCCTGCAGCAAGCCGATCCCTTCCTGGGTGTTCCGCACCTTTCGAGACCCAAAGTCGGCTTTATGAATTGGACCAGAGTAGCGGGAGCTGTTTTGCAAGTTCACACGGGCGCAGGCAATGAAGAAGCCACCATTGATGAAGGCGGTGTTGCCCTTTTCAACAGTTTCAACGTGGTACTCCTGCGGCGGCGCTGCACATGTGTTGACTCCCTCTGGGACCGCACCTTCTTGTGCCCTCAAGGCACAGAAAGTCTGGCTCTGCAACGACTCTGCGGAAATCTGCTGAGAGCCGGCCTGCGAAAACATGATCAGCCTTGGTTCGGCAAGAATTGCAGAAGCTGTAACTGTAGCAAAGAGCAGTACATCCGAAAGAGACAAGCGGGCAGACGAACCTTGGTCTGCAGGCCTAATTACGTTCAGGTGTGGGCTTGGTTTTGGCCTCTTAAGGCCGGATAAAATGTCCACACGCCTGCACTCGCAGGGTATGCAGGCGTTGGGCACGGTGAGGAATCGTCAGCTTCTGTGCAGCTGCGCTTCTTCTGCTGTTGTGTTGCCAGTGCGCACTGTGCAGTTTCCAAAACCCTCATCGTGCAAAAACCATTCCAGAGCAGCTCTGCTTGATAGGGTGAAGGCGCCTGAACTCGTCTCAGGGTTGATCATGATTATTGCACCGGCTTCGGCTTTGCTAGCGGTCACTCCTGTTCTGCTCTGTGGTTTGTATGGTTTGCTTACTGGCCATACATCTCTATTCTGTTTGGGCGGCTGCCGGCGCCTTTTCGGGTTCTTTCAACCCCAAAACATCATAACTCGATCTGGCAGAGCCCTTCTCGGAAGCGATTGGGCACCACGTTCGGGAGTAGCCTTGCTTGACCTTCGTTATGGCGGTAGGCGAACAGCTATTAAGGTTTTGGCTGTTTGCAGGCGCAATCTGTCCTCAAACATCATGATATAGATGCAGGGCTTCGACTCTCTTGCTCGCGCACGGCTGAAAGGGCAGTGCGTGGGCTTTGGCCCCAAGCTTTGTCGCCAGCGTTTGCGCCGTCGGGTAGCGTTCGGTAGCATGTCACTTCCCCTATGCATCTCCACTGGAAACTCGATCTTAGACGGGACTACATGAGCCGTTTGTTGACGTCCCTTCTTGTCTAGTATGGTATATCCCTGAGCAGCTATCAAGAAGGTCCTTGCAAAAGCCTTTACCATGGCAATGACAGTCTGCGCTCTTTCTGGAGGAGGAACTGCACAGCTTGGGCGGCAGCTTGTTCTCCGCAAGGCCATAGTCATTGATGATCGCAGCTAGAGGCTCTGAGGTGCGAATGAAGGCATCCTGCCGAGACTTCGGCGAGACTGAACATAACCCTCTGCTCACGGTGCTTCGGTCAGTAAGGTTCAGCAAGGCTTGGCAGGACATTCTGAGATTCCAGTCCGTGTCGATCGAAACGCCATAGGCACAGCGCTCCGGCCCACGCTGGCGGAGCTCATTGATGAGGACTTTGATTTTGGCCCAACCTGGGAGAGAGGTTTCTTGGGGTTTTCAGTGGGGGCATTCAAGCCGCGGAGTCTCTCGGAGTGCTCAGCCAGCAACCCACCTTCCTCTTTGGGAAGTGGGTGGCCTCGTCCGGATTGACCTATGGCTGAGTCTGAGAGTCTCAGACACAGATTTAGAGCCAGGAACAGACATGGGGGGGTTGCAGGAGGGGTTTCGGAGCGGTTGGACACTCAGACGAGAGTGCACGGTGAGCAGCATGAGAACACATGCTTTGCCTGAGGCCAGCAGAGGCTCTGGCCACTAGCTCGACCCATGAACCAGCTGAAAAAAAAAAAAAACAAATAAAAAAAGAAAAGTCGGACGTACATTTCTGAAACGAGGGATATGGCTCGGGGTGTACACCAACCCCTGCTCCCCCCCCCACCCCCCCAAACACAAAAGCAAAATGAAACATTAGTCTCAAGCCCCATCTTTTTGCTCTTCCCTGCAAACCCGAGCATCCGACGTAGTCAATTTCATAGCCATAGTCATGCGCCTTTGCGTAGGACGCCCCCTTCAAGTACCCAACTCTTGACAGTGCAGAGCTGCTAAGCTACCCACGTATGCTTTGTTGACTCCGAAAGCAAGCGTCCAATACCTCATGCGACCAAGCACCCGCGTGCAGCAGAAAACTATCCCAGAGGCTGGAAGAGATTGAAGGCTTACCTGGCGTTCAGCACGGAGGTGATGTTCCGCAGCGAGGACCTTAACACGAGGCACCAAATTCTTCTTCTTCTTCTACTTCTACTTCTACGGGGCTTGAGGAACCCAGAGGGGCCCCCGCGCGCACCAAATTCTCTCTCTCTCTCTCTCTCTCTCTCTCTCTCTCTCTCTCTCTCTCTGTCTCTGCATACATACATGCATACATACATGGAAATATGAGGGCATGTAACGCTGTTTGGGCTGTACGGTTTTGGGGGATTGCTGAATGTAACAATGTACAAGAAGCCACCTGCGGCGGGTATCCACCATGAAGATGCAGATGGTGGTGTTCCTGCAAGTTCCCCCCCTCCACCTCCCCCACAGCCTCTAGAAAGGACTTCCAAAGGCCTCCCCTGCACAAGGCAACAGAGCCAGTCCTGTAGTTCTGCGAGAACACCCTCTCACATCGACAAAGCAAGTAGTTCGGCCTCAGGTCAAATTCCAAATCGGACATGGCCAAGAAGTGAAGGCGAGTCAAGGGCAGGACGTGCCACCCTCCGGACACCAAAGAAGATGGCAAGACTTCTTCTTTGAGAGCCCCGTCTTTTCGTCCTGGCGTGCAATTCTGGGGCAGGATATATGGGGGTTGCTCGTTCGGGCTGGAGGTGATTTTTCCACCTCAAAGAGTTTCTGGTACATTACGTTTTCGACTCTTCACAGGGAGCGATTGCACCCACGAAGGTCCACGAGCAATATCCAGGCTACCACGATGTAGGGCATTTAGCTTAAAAACCTGGCCTGCAGAGGATAATGTCGCTCACTCATTCGCAGATATGAGACGAGCAAATTGTTGATATACATGTATACATGCGAATCTTAAGTTTGTGTTGCATGTGTGTGTGTGTATGTGTATGTAGCTTTGAACTCCGACTGCAAGGCTCTCCAGGTGAGGCCCTGGCAAGAACCAAGGCAGAGTGAGCCAGAGGGCCGAAGACATTCCTCCGCCCAAGGCAAGTTTGCTCTTGTGAGATCTTTGGCGAAGGACATGGAAAAATGCAAATGAAGCACCTGGGATGAGGAACAAAGCCTCTGGCCAAGAAGACAGAAGCACATTTGCAAAGGTGAAGTTGTTCTTCTCCCTATAGTGCCTGTGGTCAGTGCATGGACAGAAGTCTTCACAGGTGAAGCAGCAAAGCTTTAAACGCTGCGAATGGCACTACGAACCCCATGCAGCAGGCCTTAGGGCATGCTGTGCCACGTCTAGCAATCCTTTTTGCAGCCTCAGGAGGAACCAGGAACTTGCAGCCGCGACCCCTTTAAGTTGCCTTTAAGAGCCTGGGGCTGGTGCGATTCGTTCTCCTCTGCGAATGAACGAAGCGAAGGTTGGAACATGTTGGATATGCTGGAACAAGACGAAGACACCTCGTTCTCTGTGTGGTTCGGAAGGAGCGGGTGTCCTCGACCGCCGATAGCAAGCCGGCAATGTAGGAGAATGCAAGCGGGCAGCGCTTCATCATGGCCTGACATGTCAAGGGACGTGTCCAAACCAGAGTCAGAGTAGTCGATAAGCAGCTTTGCAGACCGCACTGGCCTCATCCGCGTTCGAGATGACCGACAGCATCCTTTGCCTTGCACAGGTGTCTGTTTTGCTTTTGTGTTTGATTTTGGTCTTTTGCCAACATCGACTGTAAACACCTGAGGAGGAAGCCAGATTTCTGCGGGAGCATCTGCGAACTCCTGCGAGGCCACAACGAGTGACCACGTGATTAAGCAAGCCGTCTCCGCTCTTTTGGCCTGCATGTCTGACGACATCGACCCGACTCCAGGAACATCCTCGCAGTCTGTCCATACCTGTCAGCGCGGAGTCGCGCTGATAGTGTGAGTGGCAGCAATGCGAAACTCGTTGAGTGCAGGAAAGCTACCACAAAGTGTAGAAAAGTTTGAAGGAAACAAGCTCTTAAGAACAATGGTGCCAACTTCCTCCTGAGCTTGCTGCGAGGTCTGCTTGGGTCCTTCAGACTCCAGACGCGAAGTTTGCCATTCGCTGTTTCTTTCAGCCATGGCGTGCCAAAGTCAGCGCCAGGAAATCCGAGGCCGCGGCTGCTTGAGACTCTGTGAGAGAAGTGCCCAGGCCCTTGGCGGCTTGTGTCTAGCCCAGGGGTTACCCAAATTCGAGCACAGCACCCGGGTGCAGGACGAAAAAACGATGGGGGCCCAGCCAGTATCGACCTGAGACAAAGCCCAGCCATGGTTGGAGACACTTTTTCCCAGCCATGGTTGGAGACACTTTTTCTCTCTCGGGGTTGAAGTGTTTCCAAGGAAGAGTACCAAGTGAAGCTGAACAGTCTGCGTGCCTGTACAGCCGTCCACGCGCCGGTTTCTGTGGCTGTTGCGTGTCTTGTTCCATTTGGTCTTGATCAAACTCGTCGTAAGATGAGCGGGGGAGAAAAAAACAACTGTGGCACCAAGATGTAAGTTACACGACCCCCGTCTGCTGGTGTGGTTGCACTCGCACTGCAAACGCCTGCTGTGATTTACAACGGGCACGTCTGTCCTCAGCCATCGAATCGAGGCCTCTTGGACTCTACACGTACTGTAGTAGCAAGCATTAGCCCTACGCTCTCTTGCCGGCGTGCTACGCTGCTACCGTTTTTGTTCATCGGCACTACCGGATCTGAATTGACATACTCATGCTCCACACGACCATAAGTCGCACCTAAGAACAAAAAGCTGGGCCCGCTGGACGCTCCCCCTAAGTCACACCCTCAAGACTCCTTTGATTGAGTGCGGCGGTCCCTGAATCACATCACCGAAGTTCCTTGGTGGAGTCCGATGGCTTCATCAGGGAGCTAAAGCCCCCGGCCAACAAAGAGAACGGAAAGCGATACACCATGTAGTACCAATCCTCAGGGGGGGGGGGGGCCATTCATTCACGCACTGTACAATCATGCCAGAGTTTGCCAATCGCCACGCATCTGCACCATGTGGCTCTGTACGCATCCCTGCTTAGCTGGGGGCACTAATCAGGAAGTCCGTGTCAAGAATCATCTGCTGGCCTCGGCTTCACACACGACGTGCTACTATTACGAACATCAGGGACCCTAATAAATACCCCCAACTTGTACTAAGGACCTCAATAAGGTACCCCTAATTTCGGAAACCCTCATGTGACACCTCTGGGCACACGTGGTGCACCCCATTTTCATATGCCACTGGGGGCCGCTCGGTAGGTCCTGTTCATGGTCAAGAGGTACACAGAGCGCACCGCGAGAATGCCCAGGATGCAATCCTGGAGCTCGGTACACTTCTGAGGGGCCGCTTTCAACAGGGCCAAGGGCTCCCGGCTTCTGATCTCAAATATGAGATTCATATGATTCATATGAAGAACATCTGACACAATGATGACACACCTCTGACCAAGACTTGGGCTCGGGAGACCATCACCTCGTGGAAGCCAATAATGTTGGTCAAGTCCTGGACTTGCTCCGACTCTGATAGCCCGATCAGAGGGAGAGAACGTTGTGCTTCTTCGCTAAGCTGGCAGCATGCTGTATAGGCCGAATCTGCTCCTCTGCACCCCCGACCGGCTTCACTTGGAAAGACATGATGGCTGCCAAAGTGCTCAATTCAGAACAGGCTCCCAGAAGATCTGGGTCATGTTCCCATAGCCCCTCCTCACCAGCCCAAAGAGAAGAGAGCTGGTCTCAGGTCTCTAGCTCACTCGAGCTCAACATCGCTGGGAGGCCGGCAGGTGGGACTCCAGCCACATGGAAAGCCCCCTCTTGAGATCCGGCCTTGTGCTGTACACTGCCCACGAAGTGCTGAGTGGAACCCCAGAAGTCTCCAGACAAGTTCAAATTCGTGCAACAAGCCAGGAAGAAGCACAAGCAGGATGCCATCCGTCAGAGAGGCCGCCGGCTGTCTTCAAGCTTAATGTAAGCAAGGCACTGCACCTACGCCTATGCCTGCGTGTAATGAACTGCTTGAAAAAACCCGGCGAAAAGGCCCTTTTTAGTTCCGACCCCTTCTCACAGAATGCCGAGGAGCCAATGGAAAAGCTGGTCTGCGGAAACCGTGCACGACAGGCGCTTGATGTCCTTGTAGTCTCCTTGACAGACTTGTGTGGACACGATCATGATGTCATATACAAGATGCTATGTGTGGCAAGTCCTTCCCATATCGGCAACGGCCGGCTTCCTCAGTTCCCCCATGGTACGCAAGGTCACGCACTCAGGAAACGCAATTTGGTACAGCCCATAAGCTGCAGAAAAGATTCGGACAGGATCCCAAGGGACAAAGTTGGTCGGATCATCGTGAAAGACGTTGGTGATTTGACCCTGTAGCCCGAGGCACAAATCTTTCAAAAACATTGGGGCAAAACAGAGCAATACTTCAATCAACATTTTGAAACACAAAGCCCTAGCAGTAGAGGTACTGAAATCAATGTGTGACGCCCTGAGCACAATCAAAACCTCCTAACATGTAGGGGCATACATGCACAGAAAGCATGATGAACAAGCCACATGGCCTGTCTATCGCTTCTCCGAGATCAGGCAACCGGCGTGACCCACCCACGGGAGTCCGAGTACAAGTCATGCTGAGCGATTTGAGAGGTTGGACTGCGCACTCTTTTGCCCTACAGGAAAACACTGAATGTGGGGCGCTGGGTCTCTGGATGCCTCCCTAAACCCTAAACCCAAACCCTAGAAAACCCCAAACCCTACATAATTACACACACACACACACACACCTACATAATTACACACACACACACACATGGGCTTCTCGAAGCACACGGCCTTGCCTTCGGCTTCGCATGGACCAGCAAGGCTTGCAGCAAGGCAGCCTCTAAGTCTGCATAGGAGTCTTCTCAAGGATGGGTTTCCCTGCTTTGGGTACAGTATGGTACAGTACCCTGCAGTGCCCTGCAGTGCTGGGTTGTATCATAGGACTTCCAAGAAGGGATCCGGATTTCAGGAACTTGACATGGATGGCTCAAATCTGGTCCACGACTGGAAGTTGCGGGATCTACAGGCTTGCGGGCCGGTTGAATGCCACTACGCTTCTACACTCTGCATCGCATTCCCATTCAGACAACATGCCATCGAGATTCTATGCAACAAGTACGCCCGGAACCGACAAGCAAGACAACCCCACCAATCTGCTATGACAAGTGTAGATCAGATGGAGCCTGCAGCCAGTGCTGCCTCTGCAACATGCCCCCATTGGCCCATGCAGGGCCCCGGAACAAGCTGCGAGGGGTCGTGGGCTTAGGCTGATGTGTGCCACTGGTGGGTTAGGAGCCGAGTGGGCCGATGGCCTCCGCTCCTTGATAAACCCATCTTGATCCCATCTTGGAAGTGTAAAGCCGTAAAGCAGAACCTGGCCGAACGTCACAGAAGGCTCTGAAATATCATAAGTGGACATGCCCAAGTGCTGGACATCTATAGCTATCTGTCTATCTGCGACAAGAGTGTAACAGGCTGTGAGCCATGAGCACGCACAGCATCGCAGAGCAGCACGCCAAGTAAGGCGATTCGTGGACTGCTTCGGGGCATAATCGACACTCTTTGGACCTCAAAGGAAGATATGCTATTATGATATCAGGGACTGTCTCTTCCGCAGGGGCATGGCATCTCTTTTGACCTCCACCTCACGCACATCGACCCCAGAATGGCGTGGCCAGCGGCCGAAATCTGTAGGGTTCTGTATCGTCACAAGTCTGCTTTCTTTGCAGTCGCAGCGCCACTTCGGGATTAAAAGGGTCTCATAACATTTCAGGGGAGGCTTCAGGTTCGAGTCATCCGCTCCTTTCTTTTGACCGCAAATGAGGTCGAGGTGGACATAAGGTGGACATAGAGTCATAGAGTGCGGTACAAGACCCGTAACAATAAAGTTTTACAGGCTGCACTTCTACCCTCAACATCTCTTGCACTCGCTCCTGCACTCACTTTCCCATTCGCGTGTCATGCGAGGTCGCCAGGGTTTGATGAATCAGGCTTGGGTGTCCGAACACAAAGACCATCTTTTGGCCGCTGTATTTGGCACTAACTTCCCCTCCATTGAGCGTATTTAAGCACCTTGCTCTTCGGACGCCCCTACTGAGCCTCAAAATGGCCCGGTGTTGAGCCATGGTCATGGCACCATGCCCCTCAAGCTCCAGGATTAAAGTAACTCCACCCCTCGATTGGGACTGTACAAGCGCACCACAGATATTGTGGGCAGCGGCACCTGCGACTGTGGCAGCGCGCCGGAATCTTTCATGCAATTGGTCAGACTATCGTTTTTCACGGAGACGCCTCTTCAGAACAAAACTGACACCAGGAGGCCATTTCCGCCACCTTCGGAGACAAAGAAAAGTACAAACAAGAAAGATCGAGCCCCTCTCCTCTGGAAGTCCACAAGCGCCTCTCGCTGTCGGAAGGCTGCTGTGCCCAAAGTCAATCAAACGAAACTGTGTTCCCACTGCAGAGACATCTCGTTGAACTGCAAGTAGCACACCCCGGGCTGCCCCGAAGATTTGTCATCCATGTGCTGGGCCACGCGCCACACGTAGCCAAGCCGTGTCTCGCACAGGACCTTAAACTGCTGCATCGCCTCCTCATACTGCTCCTTGGTCAAGAAGTCGCTGAGCTTCCTGCGAGAAGGCAAATGCAGCCCCTTGAAACCGACAGAGGCAGAAGAGCGATCCGTGAGTATTGCGAGTATTCCTTCTTCCCTTCGCTTTGCTTCGCTTTGCCCTTGTTACCCTTTCTTCGCCCAGGTCCTTTGCAGCCGCTGGCGTGCGCGCCGCCGGCTGGCCTGGTTCGTGGCGGTCTGGATGGAGCAGATGGCTCGGTCCAATAGATCCTGGACATAGGCTTGCAAGTCCTCCAGCTCATGTCCTCAAGGGGAGATCTGGGAAGCTTTTGCGATTTAGAGGGCGGGGGGATCTAGCGAATGGAGTCCTCATGTCCTAACGGATTTCTCCGGTTTTGGGGGATGCCAATGAAACCCTGGCGCCTCGTAGTTCCCACTGATCAAAGCCCTCTTGGCTCGAAGCATCGCTCAACGTACGCTCCGACATGGCAAAGACGCGCGAGTAGCTTCGCCACAGGCTCGGGCCAAGGCAGCTCTGCAACTACGCATATCCTATGGGAGAGCATCCCGTTCTCACACCGTTGCGTGAGCGAGTGGTGTGCGCAAACCCAATACTTCAGAGAGACGCGAGTTTACCAAGGAGTTGTTCTGCTGCCATGCTCGCCTTTCAGCGCTCCAGACGCTGTTGACCACGGATTTGGCCATCTGGTGGGCCAAATCTGGTGACACATCTAGGCAACTTGATCGGTCCACCTTGGCGTTGGTGGCGACCCAACCTGGGCTTCCATTGCGCAATACCCAAACACGTGCAAGCTGCTGAGACTCAGCTTCCAGCCAGCTGCTCATCAGCAACTGGGCCAAAGGCAGAGTAAACACAAATTTGGACGGCGTTGGCATGCAACAGTGGTAGTGAAAGCGCTAAGGCACTCCACTCGTTAATCCCGCGGAGCTGCCCGTTGCGTTGAACTCCCCCTCAAGAAGCCAACCCAAAGTCGAGCTAAACGCACACCAGGGGCATCCCAACAAGGAGGAGCCCTGCAGATTTGTTCAGAGAGTCGTTGGACACTTTCTGCAATGGAGTCAGGGCAAGTAGAGACGAATGCCAGCCTGCTCGGCGGTGCTGCGGTCGGCTGGACACACGTGGAGCATGTCAGCGACCAAGTTCCCCTGAGTCCAAACTCTGGACCGTCGATGTCTCAGGTTTAAACCCAGCCCACTTGCAGACCCCCAACTTTAAAACGGGAACCCTTCTGCGGAGCATTCGGGAAAAGGCGGCTCAGCCGCTGACGTCACCATAGACTAGCACCCCAGGCGTAGCATCTTCTGTGTAGCACTCGACCTGCTGCGCACAGAACTGTCGATTTGTTGGATCCTGGCGCGTATAGAAGTGGTCGGGCCGCAAAATTTATGTATGCGGAGCAACCTATCAACCCTGCACCCAAGATGAAAGGCAAGGAGGCATCGCAGGTAGAGCACCTGAACGAGTAAGACCGGAACAACCCAAATACTTTCGTTGTTGCGCTTGAAGGAAAACAAACTCGAGTGCTTAGCACCAAGCCATGGCCCTGCCCTGACTCCGTACCTCCTGGGACCTCCCACCAGGAGGTTGTGAGCCCAAGTGGTGCTCGCCCGACTTGTACAAGAATTTAAAGAGGTCTCAGGCACAGCTCGCATGCAAAATCATGAAGGCATGAGACACACACGCGACCTCATCAGTGGAGATGGCCGTCGTTGGGACAACGTGCCATTGCTCGCGGCATCGAAAACAAAGTGTCTGGCTCAGCTTGGTCCAGGGGCGCGCGAACTACTGTAGACACCTTGCCTCAACCGCTGCTGAATCACTGGGCCCTCATGCACACGAACTACCGCGCTATTTTTCTTTCCTTGCCCGGCGTACGTGCCTTAAGGCAGCGCTCGCCGTCTATGACGGATGCCTTCGGCATACCATCTGCCATCCCATAACATCCTGGCGAGAGTGTTCAAAAGGGCTTGCGACATGCATGACATGGCAAGCTCTACCTGAACTTCCGGTTCACAATGAGGCGCTTTTTTGTACATTGTATACATATATCATGATGGCTCCATCGCAACCATCCTAAAACCAAATCAACCTTGCCGGGGGAGCGGAGAAGTGTGTAGTTGTGCCCTAAACCCTACAACCTAGACCGTTGTGTTGAGCACGGAATGCGGAAGCTGCCGGCAACCTAACTCCAACTCTAAAAACCCAAACCCTGAAAGTCACCGTAAACTTGAACTGGCCGCTGGCCTTGCGACACGAGCTCGGACCTCATGCCCCCAGTCCATGGCTCGATGCCTGAGCCGACGCGATGCCATTGCGACTGACATCTCCAAACCCTATACAAGCCCTTTAACCATGCAAGACCTTCATGTGTTCGAAAACTTTTGAATAATGCAATTACACGGCACATGACGGTTTTACCCCTTTTGCGCTGCGTTGCTCTGGGGATTTGGGGTGTTAAGTCGAATGGCTCTGGACTCTGGAGGTGGTGGCACATTAATGTTTGACGCCTTTTCCCGCTAGGGCTCTGGACTCTGGAGGCACTCGTGGCACATGAAGGTGCAATCCCGTTTGCGCTGCGCGGTGTTTAAAAAAAGTTTGCAGCCGTGTGCATGCAGCCTGCAGATCCAAGCTGCGACCAAGCGCATTCATGTCCTGCACGTGCGTCTGTGGGCGTTGTATATTGTTGTAGATTTGCCTGCTTCAAGGATGACGGGGTCGTTGCGCATGTGGGACAGTTTTCGCTCTTGCTCGTGACCAGCAGAGCCTTGCTTGCCAGAGTAGTCGAAACTTAGAAGCCCCCAAGCTTCAGCCGCGCTTGATTCGCTGTATATTCTTTTTGTGATTTCTGCGTCTCACCAGGCAAGTATGAAGACTCAAGGCGGAGCTCAACTTCCAAGGCACCGCTGCTTTGTTTGGCTTGTTTCTGCCTTCAATACGTTACCGTTCCTTCGAGGCTCGAGGCAAGCTGAACACTGTAGCCGGGTTTCATGTAAGTTTCTCCCGAAACCCTTCACCAAGCAATCAGACTTAGTCGTAGTTTCAGGCCCGTTGTTAGTGTCCGTGGCCCGCGGTGCATTTTTTGAGAGATGTATATATATATATACATATACATATACATATTTGTATGTACATATACTGACATGTACTCATTTGCATATATATGTATGTATGTATGATGTATGTATGTATGTATGTATGTATACGCTGCACCCCGAACTAGTCCCCAAACCCTGCAGCGCTCGTCGTGCCTGCTTCAGCATGGCGACGGTCCTCTCCGGCTTGAAGCCCGACTGGGCCATGCGCTCCACGAGTGGCCTTCTGGGACAAAGGAGGACATTCTTGCCCAACATGTAATATATATATATATATATATATGCATACACATATATATATATAGATCAAAAGATAGATATGGACACATATGTGTACTCTAAATATGCATACATATATATTCTGTATCTATAAATCCATATCCTACATCACTACAGACACACACACACACTTTTGATGCGGCTTGCGGCGCCCTCACACTTCAGCAGACTTCTACTCGGAGGCACTTCTCTTCTTATGCCCCCGACTGCACTTCAAACGAAGGCTTCTCAGGGCCTGTTCAGGAGCAGCTCCTGCTGCCGCGTCTTTTCGGAGATGCCTTGCTCCAGCTTGTGCGCGCCTTGGCCACGGCTACTTTTGGCGCCCCCTTTGCTCTCACTTTGTTGGAAGAGAACAAGGTTCTAGGGTTTTTCTGTTTAGGGTTGAGGCTACCCTAAGCCCTAAACCCTAAACCCTAGGAGAAAAGGGGTGCCTGCTTTGGCCAGCATCGCATCGAAGAGCTTGGCATCCATGTCCTGCGAGACGATGCGACAAAAATCACAGTGACAATGCTGCTTTGGGTTTCCTACGCTTTCCTCAACTCTAAGAAAGGGCATCGGGCGCAGTGCTTCTGCAACTTTGTCTTCAATGTCGCTTGTTTAGCGTTTCAGTGTGGAAGGGACTCATCACGAGCTTCCCAGCAAGGTACTTAAGTCTGTAGTATGCCATATGCCAGGCTCAAGGTTCTCGACTTAAATACTCCCCAAAGCCTACCCATCCATGTCCAAGTCGTTTACTGCCTGGGGTAAAGTGCTATTCATGCATTTTAGGGTCGGTAGTTCGTTGACAAGTAACATGAATGCTTAACGCTCTATAGGCCACATATGAGTCGGCGTTAAAACTACCTGATTTAAGCCTTGCTTGTTTTTGGTAGGATGCGCTTTCGCGTGCCCTGCTTTTTTTGGCATGCGTTGAGTGTGCTCAAGTTCGAAAGTGCAAAAAACCTAGGTATTAGATTCATTCCTGCTTTGGGAACCAGGAAGACACAGCACAGATTCCTCGAAGGCCGGGCGCTTTTTAGTGATTTTGAATGTTTCGCCTAGGCGGGAGCCTTGTTTTGAAAGGGACGAAACACAAAAGTTGCGTATACCTTTTTTACGTCGATTTTTAAGGGTACTTGTTGCGGCTTGCATGTGTCGGGCCCCAAACCTCAGAGTTCAGAACCAAAGGACAGATCCCCCCCAACCCCCCCCCCCCCCCCAACCCCCCAACCCCCCCCCCCCCCCCCAACCCCCCCCAACCCCCCCCACCCCCAACCCCCGCCACCCACTCCCCACCCACCCCCCGCCCCCCCTCCCCAAGAAAATTCCAGGAAACGCAGGGCGCACGAGAGTGCATCCTACCTTGTTTTTGAATTAGCGCGCCCCTATCGTTTTCCATGTTTTCGCACGCTTATCCTATAGTATCAAATAGCAATATCATTTTAGCGCGTCCCCTATCGCTCACCGGCATTTTGCTGCAACAACTACCCCAAGCATTTGAGCATTTTTGAGCATACTCTCGCCGTTGCGGAATGACTTGGACGCCTCATTCTCGCACAACAGCTGCAAGGTACGTATCAAATCCCTTATGGCCATTGGGGAGCAATGACTCTTGAGCGGCTGCCTTGTTGTCACATTGCCTGCGGAACTGGTCACAAAATATGCACCGTTTCGTGGTAGCTCCGAATCACCCGACACAAACACACATGTGGGCCGAACAGGCCCTTCTTGTAGGGGGAGTCTCTCTCTTGTAAACTCGCACAAGACTTAGAGAGTCGACTTTGAGCCCTCTTTCAAAAACTCGCCTTCCGCGCCGCCATGGTTCGCTCAGCGCCGCGGCGCTGCGACTCGGCGAACTCGGCATCCTGCTTTCGCCAGGTGGCCGCCTGTGGTCAGCGGGCAAGGCAGACGCGGAATTTCGCGTCTTGCAAACTGAATAAAACAATAGAAAACAGCTTAAAGCAGCTTTAGACTTTAGACTTTAGACGAAGGACGATTATGTGCGCTAGCCACTCAGGCCATTTATCCGACGGCCTCGGGCCGTAGGTGTCTGGGTAGCATAAATCAGGTACCCCTCCCCCAGCCGACAGGTATGCATCAGAACCTTGTGCCCTGCCGGCACCCCACCCCCCCCCCCCCCCCCCTGCCCTGCTCCCCCCCCGTGCGCCGCTGCCTGCATGTGTGCGTTTTTGGGCGGCCGATGCACCTCCTTCCATCCACTCGCGTGGATTGCAAAGCTCTGGACTCTGTTCAAGCTGAACTTGTCGTGTAATCTTGGAAGCGCCATGGCTTTGATGGTTGCTTCTCTCTGCGCAGGCTTCGCTACTGCTCAAGGACTTGTTCCCCAGAGCGCGTGAAGAAGGCATGGTTGCAGACTCGGCGTTGTGGGTGTAGGGGCCGTATGGAGGGTTCAGGGTTCCGTTGGGCCCCGGCCGATGGGGGGCCCGCGTAGCCCGCCTAGCGTCAAACTTAGATCAGCTTGCCTGCCACCGGTCTGCCTCCTTGTCCTGGCCACCCTGGCACAGATAAACAAGCAAGGCAGTGAAGTGAACACAAGCACCCGATTCAACTCAGACGAGGAGCTCGTTCGATCTTTTCGGACATCTGCTGCTTGATGGTGGCGAACCTTGTGGGCAAAAACCGTCAATAATGATGCAGCGACGAGAGACGCCCCTTGAGTCACGCACACTGAAAAGCCCCCCAAACAAACGTGAAGAAGCAACATGCCGCGGCCCCGAAGAAAAAAAACGAAGCTCACTGAAACCTTGGATCTCTGTGCCATTCTGTGCCCACAGTGCAACTAAGTCACAGGTCCTTTGCTTGGCGCCTGCGATCCGCTTTCCTGGGAGAAGACCCCGGTGACACCCCAACTCGGGCCCTGGCCGGATATCGGCTTCATGGCATACAGTGGCATACAAGTCATACAGGGACAGTCCTCCTAAGATCTGACACCGAAGTGCAGCAAGTCTTGGGGGAGGGATGGTTATAAGGCCCTGGCTTGGCGAAGAAGTCTGCGGTCTTCTTCTTCTCGTACGCCCTGTGAGGGCTTTGGGTGGTTTTAAGGTTCTAACCAGGCCCACCCCAAGGGGCGTCCACTCCGCAGGGACAAGTCGAGGCAACTCCAAAGAATTGACCATCCGTTCAACCTAGTCACATACCAAGCAAAGCCCAAGAAAGCAAAAATGACCTTTTGAACTCCCGGCTGAAGTCTAAACCCCAAAGCCTAAGAAATGCATCCAAGCCTCATCGAACCCCAAACCCAAACCCTAGACTGAAATCCTGAATTGGCCCTTTTGCATCCAGGGATCTGGGTAAGTCTGCTAAACTGGCCCTAAACACAGTCCCCCCCTTTCCAACTAACAACAGCAAACAGGCTCAAACCCTACACCCCAACTGCCCCAGATCCCCCGAAACAAGCCAGAGCCTAAAGTTGGCATCGATTCGCAGATCCAGGGCTTCCTCCTGGGCCCGCTCTCCAGAATGTGGGAGTTCGAGTCTTCGGCTGCATGATCTGAGGGCCCCCGCAGAGGTTTAGGGTTTAGGGAGTTTAGGGTCTAGGGTTTAGGGTTTATAGGGTTTAGGGTTACAAGCCCTTTTTGGTGGCCAAGGATACTCGGCAACATGATCTGCAGAGCGACTCTTGCTGATACTTAGCATAAACTCGTGGTCGGAATCCTCAGGAATCAGGAGTCCCTTCCCCGCCTGCCCAAAACATACAAGCAAAAGGATCTACAGGCTCGCTTCTGACAAGGGTGACGTGCAATCCTTTTTGTGTAGTCTCTGCGTTGCTCCGATTGCTCCTCAACGCGCTGGGGGGACTCCGGCACGGTCTTTGCCAGCTGCCCGCAGTTTTTCCACAATTTGGCCCTCAAGTTCTCATGTGGGGTTTCAGAGTCTCTAAGAGTCCAAGACAATCCAACATCAGCGGGATAGTGCCCCAGCGCTGTCCCCTAGCTGCATGGCTGCACAGATCTCCTCTGTGCTCAGAGCCTTAAGGCTCTGCTGGCCGCTGGCCCTGAATGTCCCTAAGTTTCATATAATGCCAATGTACATGCGATTTCTGCACCGTCCTCAAACGAAATCTTCAAACACTGGCTTACAGGCCCTCTGCATAGTAGGCATCGTAAGACGAAACTGAGGGGTAAACCCAGGGACCCAGCGAGCGAGCTCCATCTATCACTGAGCCCACTTTGACTCTAGGCTTCGAAATCTCGCGCCAGGCTTGTCACAATGGCCTCGTGTGATTTCGGGATATGGGCAATGGGGGGGGGGGGGGGGGTGTTAGTGGGCCTAGGTGTGCTCCGTTGCACTGTACCTCCTGAAATCTTCCTCAAAGAATCCTCGAAAAACCAATGCTCAATTCTTCAATCGTTGATGGATGGTTCTACGATGCCAGGTTAGACTATAAGATCACGTCGATGGCACATCACGAGTACTCAGAGGAAAGCCAGAAAGCGACGAGAGCTGTTCACGTCACACGCGTGGCTGCAGACGGGAGCCCGATAATAAACACCGGAAGCCGCGAGATGTAAATCCCCAGCCATGAGCGCGAGAGGAGGGGAAAGTATGTTCCTGCCACGATTCAGCCCCGATTTTGTGAAGCGTGAACATAGAAGCAGCACTCGCCGAGCCTATGGCAAAATGTGCAAAACGTTTTGAGCACGACCTTGACTCAAGACGAAGCCTCGTACAGCCGAGAGCCCGAGAGCCAGCTAACCTTCCTCCCCAAGACTCCAAGACCTTTCTCTGCCACCCTTTGACGTGCCTTTGAAACCCACAAACCCCCACCAAGATGCTGGAGTCATCTTCGCCGCCGGTCGCGAGAGTCCTCCCGGCCACCGCCGCCGCCTCCTCCCTTCCTTCGTCCATGGCTTCCGAATGCTTCCGATGGTGGAACAACACATCATATGTAGACCAGATCATGATTCAAAGCAGTGATGTATCTCTCTAGCTCTCTCTCGCTCTCTCGCTCTCTCGCTCTCACCCCCTCTCAAAATACATATTCACATATATATATATATATACACACACACACAAAAATATAGAGAAACACATATCTTGATATGTTTATAGAAAATAAATAAATAAATATATATATATATATATATGTATGTATGTATGCACGTATGCATATCTTAAATATATACATAGAGACATATATATATATATATGTGTGTGTGTATGCTTACTAGAAAAATGTATACATACTTACGGACACATGCCCTGTAGGAAATGAGAGATGGGCACGACACCGCTTTTAAACGCCTCTTGTGGGGCGCGCCTGGGGGGGAAGCCGCCGTTCTTCAAGACGATGTTTTTGGCAGCGGCTTTTCCCTTCGCCTCATCGAGGACAGCCTCGTAGGTGCACTCATCGCCAATCTGGAGGGCATCAAAACTGCCTCAGGGCGGGGGCGATGACTGGGGGGGGGGGGGGGGGGGGGACCACATTCCCCTCGTCGTTCATTGCCTATCGGGAGCTTTATGGATGAATCCTGAATCCTCTGCTACTCCAGGAGTCTACACCCCCCCCCCCCCCCCCCCACCCCCCCCCCCCCCCCCCCCCAATTTTTATGTGGACTGCGGAGGGTCTTAGAAACCAACATCCTTGCGCCGGGCGGCTGTTTTTGAGGGCCGACTTATGGAAGAAGAGGTCTTTGTCATCCACCTTCCCGGAGTGTGGCCGGATGAAGCCAATGCCTGCAGCCTTGAGCTCCTGCTGAAGAGATGCTGTGTTTCTTTGGTTCTTGGCTGAACGGTTGGGGCAAGGGAGAGGCTTTATACACCCTCCGTATTCCGAGAACAAGCTCCTTTGGGATCAGCTGTGGTTGTGTGCTGCTTTGTAGCTTAGAGCTTCGAGGTGTCTGTAGGTGTGCATCCTTCGGTTGCAAGCCAGAGGTTTCGAATCTTGCAACGCTTAACGCTGCCATTCTGTGATACTATGTGGGTATCAGTATCAGTGTCGGAGTAGACAGAGCGTATGGGCATGATCAACCGCTTGTTCAGTGCTGGAATAGCACACTTCGACGAAATGCAGAGTTTGCTTTGCAAACTGTGTGCTGACTACCCCCAAGCAAGCGTGGGGGACAAAAAGGCGCATGCCTTTTCAGTGATGCCTCATGCATCCTCATGCAGCTCTTTGTCTGCGAAATTCGGGATGTAGCTTCTGGCAGTCCACCTCATCAGAATTTCCGACTAGGGGACTCTGCTTGTGCGCATGCAAAGCTGATGCAGCTCATCCTGCGATACTTCATTCCGCACGTCGTGAAGCCATCCGGGCCCCGTCAAGCCCTTCCATGTGTCCAACCTTCCGAATTGCAGCCCCCACTTCATCACGTCCTTCCTGCAATGGCTCAGGGGCAAATTGGTCCACCGCATGTTGTGTCTGAAGCGCACAGGCCTCCTGAACAAGGGTTTTGAAGCCGGTGGTGTGGCGTGGTGCTTGTTTGCAAAGCTGCTGGTCTCCGCCCAACGAAAGCTTCTGCCTGTCTGAGCCATGTTGGTCGTTGCAGTCGTATCTTGCCTCTTGAAAGGTGCTCCGACCGTAGCCACTCCCTCATCTTGCCGGGATTGCCGGCCCGAGCTGGCCACCTCAAACCACCCCAAGAGTATGTCTCGCAAGCTCCAGAGGCCTGTAACTATGTTGACTTTATCCATCAAGAGGTGCCTCGATCGGGCCATGCTCGACTTCTGCTGCAGCTTCCGAGCGAAAGACGTGCTTTCGGAGTGATAGATGTTCTGGGCCTCCCTTTTCATGGCTTGCACCCAAACCAAGTCCGCAGAGGTACTGATCAGCCCGCTCAGCATGTGCCAAAAGATCAGCAAGATGTGGCAGGTACTCTTTGCCTTCAAGGTGGCATGGTAGCGAGCGTGCAGCCCCATCATCTGGCTTGCGCCAAAAGCCCTTCCCGAGAGGAGCATGCCCATGCTCACGTCCTTGCAAAGGATCTCAACCTTCCCACAATTCAAGACCATCATGAAGTCTCCGCCATCCCCTTCCTTGACAATGGTGACATTCGGCAGGAGAAATCGCCTGTCCAATAGATGGCAAACAGTCAGAATCTGTTGATTGTTGAGACCGGAAAAGAAGGGCAGCATCACGAGGTGGTGGTTCACACTGTCCTCCATGAGGTTGTGCACAAGTTTCTCGAAGTTACCCCTTTCCTGTGGAAACTCATCCAGTAGATCACAGAGCTTCAGCTGCGTGAGGACTCCGACCTTACAGATCTCATCAGACCAAATCCTCATATCATTGGAGAGGTCATTGATGCCGAAGACTTCCAAGATACCAAACACCATCTTTGGTGAGATGGTGCCCATCACAGCGCCCTTTTGAAGGCAATGGAAGTGTCCCTCGAAAACAAAGTAGAGATCTGCGCCATCTTCCTTGCCACCTGACAGAAAGATCTCCTGTGCTGGAAGCAGTAGGCGTGGTTCCAACGCATGGGCCAAAGCTTCGAGAAACTCCCCGCATGCGCCAGCAAGACAAGGCATTGCAGCGAGTTGATCCTGCAAGGCCTGGGCAATCCACACGTTCTGCTGGAAATCGTCACACAACTTGCTGAAAGCACGGCCGGCAGCTGCAACGAGCTTCTTCCGGTCCTCTGGATACTTGTCCAACATGGCAGTGAAGTGCCTCTTTGAGATCTTTACGACAAAGCAGGTCTCCGTGGCAATCACGGTTGTAAACACTTTCTTGGCGAGGACCGATGGGAGGCCCCCAATGACGCAAGGGAAGTCCATAGCCTCAAAGGTGGCTCCGAATACCTTGGCCTCGCAGGTGCCCTGCTGCAGCACATGGACGTCTTGCAAGTCGGCACCTTGATGGACAATGACCTGATCTGGCATGAACAGGCGCTTGTGCAAATAGAGCTCAAGCTCCCGGATGCATTTTGAAGAGAGGCCGGCAAAATCCTTTATGCCCCGGATGCCTTGCGGAATGCTTCGACGCATGGTGGATTGCCTTCTCAGGGCCCTGTCAGTTTCCTCAGAGGTCTTCTCATCCTCTTTGCTTGAGACATCGGCATCCTCGGCCCCTTCGCCACGAAGAGACTGAGCAGACTGTGACCGTGCAGCGGCTTCTCTCTGCATTCTCTGCTTCTTGACTTGCCTCTGCGCCTTCTCCTCCTGCCGGTAGATCTTGTCCAGGCGCGCCTCGACCAGGTCACGGAAGATGAAGGACTCGTCGGGATACAAGTCGAGACAGCGCCTCAGGGCATCCGAACAGATCACCTGAACGAGGCAAGCATCAACTGCCACGATGGAGGCTTTTGGAGCTGGCCATAGGCCCAAAAGCGTGAACTCTCCAAAGAGCATGGCATCCTCCATTGCTTGCACAGTCATGGTTGCCACAATGATGTCGTGACTTAGGACGTTGACGGTGCCACGACAGAGCATCACAGCCTCGGTGCACAGCTCATTTTCGGTCACCAAGAACTCGCCATTCCCGTACACACGCTCCTTGACCGCCAATTCCAAGGCCTGTGTGAAGCCGGGGTCTGCCTCTCGAAACAGCTTCACGTTCCGGAAGCTGGTGACGCCCCGGCGCTCGCGCTCGATCTCGAATCTGGACTGGAAGTGCTCCAGGAGACCGGCATCCTTAAAGAAAAGGTCTTGCAGCTGCACGCGAGAGGCTGATGCAGTCATCACGATGGGGCTGGCGGCGGTGACGGTGGCGCCGCAAGGGGCCGGATCTCCAGTCGTCGAGCTTAGAACCGAGCGCTCTCCGACTACGGACTTCGGGCCGAACTTGTTCAAAATCTTGTTGCCAATGATGATGTTCACGTCACCTTGCAGGATGACGTGCATGGCTTTGGCAGCCTTGCCCTCTATCAGGAGTTGCTCATTTCTCCTCCAGAACTTCTTCTGAAAGAGTGAGATTAGCCGCTCAAAGCTGAAGGTGTCCAGCGTGGAGAAGAAGTCCAGGTTCTGCAAGGAAGACGAAATCTCCATCCTTTGTGCCTCGCTGTTGAAAGTGAGGGCTTCCTTCTGATTCGTTTCACCTCTGATGTCCTTGTCCTCTGTAAGCATGTCCTTGTTGGCCTTGAGTTCCCTGTGCAGTCTCGCCGTTGGCCTCCGCTTGGCGGTGCCGTCAGGCGATTTCGGCTTTGGCTCCTTTGGTTCCTTTGGTTCCTTTGGTTCCTCTGGCTCCTTCGACTCTAGCTGCTCAAGGGCCCTCTGCTTGTTCTTCTGCTTGCCTGTGCTTTTCATCTTCTTGACAAACTGCACGGCTCGTAAACTTGTGGTAGCAACACGGTCGAGCACGTGTCGCTGCGCCTCGGGCTCCCATTGATTCTCGAGGCTTTCAAGGATTTCCGACATTTCCCGAGCATCTTCCTCCTTAATCCCAGCTGCTTCCCTGAAGGCCGCAGCTGTCAGAAGCTGCATCTGGCAGAAGGTCTTCGCAACAACATTGTGCTGACTGACCGCAGCCAACCACAGCAAAACTCGGGGGTCACCAACGACTCCTGCATCGCACATGTCCATGGGCGCTTGTCCAT